CCATTGGCAATCCTCTGACTTGTTTAAAAAGTTTGATTTTGAAACTTGATGTAGTTATGAAAAAGTGTGCATTTTAGGTAGGTTTTCCATTTGTCAAGAGTCATGATATTGAGTATATTAGGGAAAAGTTTTGGTAGATCAAGTAGACTGGTATAGATTTCTTCTAGAGGAAGTGAGGTATATAAGTTTTCAAAATCATAGCAGTTAATGTTTTGGATGTTAATGGTATGAATGGTATTAATGACAGGACATTTAGTTCAGTATTACTTGTTTTCTAAAGTGTCTTAAATTCGTTATAAAAGATATCATTGTGCCCTTAATAAATATAAAAACAATTTATTCTAGGACCGTCAGTGGCCGAGTGATTAATACCATTGAACATTAGTAGTTCAACTTGGGTTCAAATCTTGGTAAATCGGTTGACTGTATCATTGGCTGTGGCTTCAAGGTTTTCTTACGGGTAAATACAAGCCAGTTTCTCTTAGAAAGGTCAATTTTCAGGTTACGTTAGGTGATATGAATACAGCAAAGCTCACGGGGGCTATCTGTATAAGGGAAGGTTTGCCTTCATGGGGATCTTTCTGAGGGAAACTGACACGTTTTTATCATGAGTAAAATCACGAAAGCCAACTATGCAGCTAGCCAGTTAGCCTAGTTTTGAACCTTGGACGAACTACCAAAATTCAGCAGTCTTTAACCATTCAGCCACTGGTGGGGCAGACTGCTCAGATAGGTAACCTTCATGTGCTTTGTCTTGATCGTTTTCAGCCAATCAGCCTACCCTAATGTTTCAAAAATTGTGAATCATAACATTTTCTCCAAATCAGTTTGCCCCCTTATTTTTAGATATGGACCATTATTGCGTTAATGTAATGATGGCAGAGACATCTCACGGAATTCTGTAAACCCTTAATTTTGTTGTTGTTGTTGTCGTGTCTATATTAAGTGGAAGAATGGTTGTCAAGGCCTACACCAAAGAGAGTTTGGACTTCTATCCCCCCCCCCAATTTTGAGGAAGAGCAACCCGAGGGATGTTCCGAAGGTCTCCCCTTCCACCAAATTACACGAGAGGACCTTAAGGCTTGCCGTATATTTAGAGTGCCCCCTTGCTGCACAGAAAATGTACATTTACAAATATCCATGTCTTTTCCGGGCCCTTCGGTACCGCAGTAAGCTCTCCTAATCACTATACCTGTCGGCGACACCATTAATTAGTCTTAGTCCAAAAAGTGACAAATGCTGAAATTCAAAATTCAAAATTTCTGTAATTTCAAAAACGAGTGACAGTGACTTAAAGAAATATGTGTGTAAAAATTCGAATATAGGGAAATATGAAGTCAAAAAGCAATTAAGTTCATTTCTCTTTGCTTTGTTGATTATAATTACTGTTTGTATGACCACAGGCGCCTCTAGAGTTGGCTTTTGTCAGTTAAATTATGAGCAATCCAACAGGAAGTTAACTTTTCAACTGAAGAATGAATAAGACATTTGAAAAACAAATCTTTTAGCGTGATGGAATAAATTATTCAATTAATGAAAGTTTTACATCAGCATTCCAACAACGACCAAAATAAAATTAGGAGAAAGAACAACAGAAATTTGATGAACATTAAACATAAATAAAAAAGTCAACGTGTTTTAAAAAATAAGCAGACACAGGTTTAATACTAAAAATGTAATGAATGTATGATATCAGCGGAAGAACAGAAGTTCAGTGTTGAAATCCATAATTGACGCAACTTTTTACACAACTGGGAAACCAAATTCGCAATGTTGTTTGCGCAACCTTTAGGCATTACAAGATGAAAAACGCTGCTAGTAATCAGAATCTGGTAAAGCAAAAACTAGTTCATTGCTCAAAATGGAAAATTAAATGACAAATACTAGCAAAAATAGTAAAATTCCGAACAATCGTGGAAATAAAATATAAGACTGAAATAATAAATTACCATTTGAGAGAAAGAAACAAATCACTAGTTTTCGAAACCTAGTAGATGTCCAAAAATTAATATTTTGAGTAAATAACATTACAGCACTTTTATCCGTGTTATATAAAATTCTAAAAATATAATGTTAGTCTTTATCAGGTTGCTGTTTTATGTTCATAAATTAAAATTAATGTTTCATATTGGGGATGACAGTCTTGAATTTCTTTCCTTTTCAAAATCGAAATAGCAACATTATTTATTAATGTAATTATTAATCTTACAAAATATGGTACTAAAAACTGCTAATTCCGATTTCCTTGAGGTTAATAAGTTTAATTTCCTCTGTTGTTGAAAATGGACTTGTTAAAATATTCATAATTGGCGTCATTCAAATTAAATATACTATCACTGTGTATTTGTGCATGCTGAATGTTATTATAGTGATCATTAGCATAAACTAAAAGACAGAGGAAAGATTACAAAAAAAGCAAAAATTTAGAGAAAACCTGTAATGTTTATATTATAAAACAAATGTGTTAGTTGAGATGTTACTTGTTCTCCCTAGCATCTGTGCCCTACTCTGTGCCATTAATCATAAATATCCATATTAAAATCTTCTAAATTTATTAGCGTTTTTCGGGAACATTTTCAATCAGTTATAGTAAATAAAAGAAAGAACCTCAACAGCAATATCGTTGAATATTTGGCGGTTAAAAAAACCAGTTATGTCGCTTAATAAATAATGAGGAATCTTTTTTTCTACACCTCAGAACACTTAATTACGTAGAAAAATGTAACAGATTAAATTGCAGTACAACAGTTGTTTCGCGCCTCCTAGCGCTAGTTAAACACAGAGAGATCTTTTTGTATCATTTGCATTTTTACACAGTGACATGGCGTCTTCTTGCGCAAATCAGAACAAAATCAAAAGTCCATCCTCGCCACCTTCACATAGTCTTTCTTCATGGTTTTCATCGGCATCGCTCTGTCTTCAGGTATGCAAGCGATGTTCTCCCTGTCAGTTCAGCGATGTTCTCCCTGTCTTTAAATCTCGTCATTCCCACATTTATAAATACAGATTCTTTAAACTAGATTATCAGATATTAAAACATTTAAGATAAAATTAATTAATTGCACTCTTTGGCCATTCTTCCAAGTGGGAAAAAAGTGCGTAGTTTTGTCATCATAGCAATTAATTTTACTGATTTTGATGTACTATAAAATCTTTGCCAAAAGTGCACTTGCTGAATGCGGTTTTGCATATACAAGTTATCGTAATTGTTTAATTTAATTTATCCAACTTCAGAATTTCAATTATACGCAGTACCCTGCAGAACGTCGACAGCATTTTACAATTCTCTTTAATGACTGGTTTGAAATGCATTGATTAAAGAAGTCAAACATTGTTTAGAACAGAAAAATATGGGTTTTAAAGTTCTCCTAAATTTTGATAATATTCCAGGACACTGTGCTGAATCTCTCACAGCATTGCATCCTAAATAAAGATGCCGAATACCACTTTCTTGATCTAAATAATGGATCTAAAAAATCATAAAAACAAAGCCTCCTTTAAATATTCTTTATACATCTTTATAAATAATGCACTAGACCAGGGGTTCCCAACCCTATGCCCGCGGTTACCATGATGCCCACTGATCGTTTAACGTGTGCCCACCGCTGTGCAATCACAATAAAAATGTTTTCGCTTTCAATAAAATTCTATGTGAAAGTTTTCTCGTTTTTAATGAAATAGAAATTGCGGCCAACACAAGCACAAAGCGAAACGGGATCGATCTTTTTTTTATGCACATGTGTAATTAACTATATCCAACTATAAATTCACCTTGAGAACGTAAATGGTGCCCGCTCTCCAAAAGATATTCTAGAATGTGCTTTTCGGGACAAAAATTTTGGGAACCCCTGCACTAGAAGAAGGAAAACGCGACACACTGACGACATTTTGGAAGTGATTCAACATAAGATACTGCATAGAAATTATTAAACTCGCATGAAAACAATCAGAGGCGTAGCTTGGGTTTTCAGCGTCCAGGGACAACTGAAGATTTTGAGCCCCTTTTTTGTGCGCCACGAATGGAAAACACTTCATTCTAAAGTTCCGTACCCTCAATTTGGAGCCCCTTGTATACTGCACCCGAGGACAGATGTCCCCCCTCGCTCCACCCTAGCTACGCTACTGAGAACAATTAATACCATCAACAATGAATGTTTGCTATTATCAGCTCTGGCCAGACGTCAACAATTTTAAAGGAGTTCCATCGACTGAAAATGAGGCCAAGAAAATCGTATAAACTACAGAAGTAATAGGCGGCAAAAGATTTTGAGATATGAGGAAAGAGATATCAAAGAATTAGTATGGAATGATGATCGTGAAATGACAAAAGAGAATTGGATAATCATATAATACTAGCAGATGGTGAAAGCAGCGATAATAAAGAAGATAAAGAGCCATTAACATACAAAAAGTTAAACAAATCATTAAACAAAACGCAGGAACTATCTGATTTTGTAGTGGAGATTAACCCAAATGAAGAAAGAACAAAATATATAATGAGAAGAATTGAAAAATTTCGCATTCCTTACCGCGAAATGTTTAATGAATGGCATTAGACACTGTCCCAAGCAAAAATCACCAGCTTTTTAAGAAAAAAAATGTCTCTTAGAATTAATTGTTTCAGCCATTTTATTAAGTGTAGACCAAAGTAAGACAGACTACAGATACCAAAGTAAGACAAACTTTGCATGTTTGGGGGGCTCGGTCGGTATGAACCTAGGAGAAGGTATGAATCACAACGCTGAATAAAAGATTACGACTTTAGAACGAGTAAATTTGTTTCAAATTATTTATATGCATATTGTTACTTGCAAGAATACTCAATATTGGTATTGAGAAGGAAAACGCTTAACGACAGTATCTTCAATACATCTCTGACGTCATCGGAAGTAGGAAATCGAATGGTATTCACGTTGACTAAATTAGTGCATTCATTTGGCAATAGAGGTAGTATATCTGTTTTTATCTACTAAGAATTGGCAATAAGATGATTTGTTTATAAATATGGCCTTAACGGAAGCTAGTGAAGTTTATTTAATTGTAAATAATATTCCAAAACATTTACATGCTTCCGATCTCCGAAATTTTTTTTCAGCATTTACAGAAACTGGTGGTTTTTTATGTTTTCACTATCGTCACAGACCTGAAGTACAGAAGCCTTCAGATTCTGAGCAGAATAATGATTCTGAACGATCTCGACGTGTAACTAATTGTTGCATTATAAAAGTTGTTGCACATCGTGCAGTAGAATTTATTAAAACTTATAATGGTGAGCATTGGTTAGATAATAAAGGTGAAACTCTTGTTTCTTGCTGCTTCATTAAAAAGATAATTTTATCGGAAGAAACTGATTCGGTGGCTACAGGTTAGTTGATTTCCATTTTTTTATTAATTACGGTGTTTAATAAATGTCGATAGCATTTTATAAAACTATTAGGAACAGCTTGAGTATAGGATCGCAATGTCGCCAAGCCATTAAAAAGCAGGTAAAAAAAAAAAAAAAATACAAGTTAGAAAGCACATCTATTTTCACTTAAAAAAAAAATCTCAGAATTGCACAAAAATGGCATTGCACACACTCTTGACTTTATCCATGTACACTGCTAAAGTCCTAGCTAGTAACCTTTATCGCCTTACCAAAATGTTGCCAAACTACTTGCGGCTGATTTTTAGAATATGGTAACTGGTAGTTTGGCGACATTTTGGAGGCGATAAAGGTTACTACCTGGGACTTTGGTAATAATGTGAGCAGTAAGTACTCAGTTCCGATTACGCATTATTTTGTGTGAGGGAAATGAGAGATCATGGGATATGTCATGTGATATTAATGGACGAATTACGGTTCTTTAATCGGAAAAGGGGGGAAATCGGGAAAAAATCTGGAAATTTTGTATTTGGCTTTATTCTGTGTTGTGTGAAACAGTGTTCGTTAATTTTTGGATCCAATGGCCCTAACTAAAGTGAATTTGAAATGGGTATTTAGTGGGATTGAAAGGGGTAGTAATAAGTGTTTTTTAAGGTTGTGTGCGAGATAGAAGTAAAGATGTTTTTATTAAGTTATTTATTTTACCTGGTACCTTGCTGTGAACTATAAGTATGATTTTAAAGATCCTGAAACAGGCGCACATATGCTTGCTTTTTATTTAGCAGATGAAATAAGAAAAGTTTATCGGACACGTAATCAAGATTCTGAAGAAGATTAGGTAAGTTGGTATTTTTAATTATTTAAGGTTTGAGGATATTATTTTTATGCATTGTTCTAAATGTAAGGTGGAAGTAAAGTAATTTGGTATTATTGAGAAAATTGTTATTAGCAATGATTTAGTTTAAAGTAATTAGGATTGTAAGCTAATTTTTATTAATTTAATGTATGTGCTTATTTATATTTTAAGTAGTGTTTTTGAATTTAATTATATTTTAATTAAATGATAGTTTTTTTGTGAATTTTTGTTGTAGGAATTTGGTATACATTTTAGTTGAAGTAAACGTGCATGGAAATAATTTAAATATTGACACTAAGTGTTTGTAATGTTTGCGGTATGAATTCGTTGGTGACGTTTATAATATAATAGATAATTTAGACGTAAAAGGTTTTGGATATTTTATTTATTTTATACGTGGAAATGTTCATATTTGGAAAGGGTACAGTCAAAAGTCGTTAATTCGAACACCCATAATCCGGAATGATCTATAATCCGGACCTCAAAGCTAAGAACTTTCTGTGCATGCGCCGCGTTGGCACATGCGCACAGGCATTTTACGCGTGCGCGTAAGACCTCGACTACTACGCATATGCGTGTGCGCAAGTGCAGAATACGTTTTCGCCTGCGCGTTTAATGTATAACGGACGGTGTAGGCTAAAATTATCTAATTATCTATTTCAGTTAATGTTAATGATTGCGTTGTTCCTTAATCTTCGAATTGGATCCCGCTTATTATTTTTTGCAGACTGTAAGAGCAATTTTATAAAAGTAAACTTGAACTTTCGATTATGTCAAATAGAATTTCCGATGCTGGAACTTCCAAAGGATCTACAAAACGAAAGTATGTTTCGATGTCCAACAAACAAAAAGTGGAATTGCTGCAAAAAATGGATAAAGACATGAAGAATGTGACAGAGAGGTTAGTGAAAACAAAAAAAATTTCGATTGACAAGTTAGTCGGTATTTCTCGGCACAGCAATTAACGGGACTTGAACAGCGGAACTTTGTAACTGAACAAGAAATTATGTCTGTTTATAGAATTAAAGAGAAAGTATTATCACATAAAATGAAGCAACTTAAACAACTTACATTGAAAGAAATGTTTAATAAAGTAAACAAATAAATATTAAGCTTTTTTTTTTTTTTTTTTGTAAATTTTGATACCCTTTAGATCATAATTGTTCTTTATTTCATAAATTACGGTTTCATATTTTAAATTTTAGAATTTCTGCATGCCATCTTACGAGATTTAAACTGATGATCTATAATCCGGAATCGCCGAAGTCCCGACGAGTCCGGATTAACGACTTTTGACTGTATATACTTTTTCGTTATTAGGTAATTTCATATATGTTCTTATTAACGGGTTTAAAGATTCAGAAAATTGTCATGCATTTTCGTGAAATTTTTCTAATTTATGAGAAAAAAGGAGTGTATGGTGAAGAGTGTGCGCAATGCCATTTTTGTGCAATTCTGGGATTTTTTTTTTTTTTTTAAGTAAAAATAAGGCGACGTGTACATGGTTTAGTGATATTTTAATTAAATGATAGTTATTTTGTGAATTTTGTGTTTGTAGGAATTTGGTATACGTTTTAGTTGAAGTAAACGTGCATGGAAATAATTTAAAATATTTGACACTAAGTATTTGTTAATGCTTGCGGTATGAATTCGTTGGTGACGTGTATAATATAATAGATGATTTAGAGGTAAAAGTTTTTGGATATTTTATTTATTTTATATGTGGAAATGTTCATATTTGGAAAGGGTATATACTTTTTCGCGATCAGGTAATTTCATATATGTTCTTTTTACCGGGTTTAAAGATTCAGAAAATTGTCATGTATTTTCTTTAAATTTTTCTAATTTATGAGAAAAAAGCAGTGTACATGGATATAGTGAAGAGTAAGCGCAATGCCATTTTTGTGCAATTCTGGGATGTTTTTTTAAGTAAAAATAAGTCTGCGTGTACATGGTTTATGTGTATGTGTTATTTTGAAAAACGCGTAAGGAGTATGGTATTGTGCACTTTTTCCCAATTTTGCAGTGAATATTTGTCATGATTAAGCAGTTTTGTTAGATAAAATTTCTAGCATAAGTGTAATTTGACTAGTGGATTGTTGGAAGAAGTGTTCAGTAGATAAAAAGAAAAGAAACATGTCTTTACTTCGTGAAGACAAAATGGCGGCGGGAAAAATAAATAGAGGGTTGCTGTAGGAGAGTTGGTCGCCAAAAAAACACCAAGTTACCATAATGTAAAGATCAACCCAAAAAATATATGTAATATATTCAGGAGCAGAAGCAATGACCAGGAAATTGGAATTTGGATGGCATAGAAATGTTGATTAAATTTTCAATTTTATTTCAGGAAATATGTTGCGGCCACAATCAAGTTAGCACATTAATCATGCCTATACCGAGAATTTTTACATTTTAGATAAATCTGCAGTAAGAAATGAGGAGCAGACAGATAGCAGTTCGACCAAGCCATAGCGTAGAAAGCAAGTGCATTATTTTCTGGGTGAAATCTTATTCAGACTAAGTTTTGGTTCTCAAAGCATTCTGATTGAACAGTTAATATTGCTCTAAAATTACTATTGGCTGGTTGAGTTTTAGTTCCAACGGTCGTCCCCATTCCAAAACCGGGGCAAAATCTAAACTTACCCATCAACTACAGACCAATTAGTCTGCTTTCCTCACTCACAAAAGTATTTGAATATATCTTACTTAATCGCCTGAATGAATTCTGTCGAGATCAGAACTTAATCATCCCGGAACAATTCGGCTTCCGACCTAAACACTCCATGGTACACCAGTTACTACGTGTAGTGGTTCATTCATGAACACTTTCATAAGCACGAGAATACTGGAATTGTCTATCTTGACATAGCTAAAGCCTTTGACAGGGTTTGGCATGACAGACTTATTTACGAGCTCATGCGACTTGGGTTTCTGGCTCACATCATTAAAATTATTAGCTCGTACTTAGCCGGACGAAGCTTCCACGTACGAGTTAACCACAAACTCTCCTCTCCCCACCCAATCCATGCTGGATGTCCTCAGGGCAGTCTTGTCTCACCTCTGCTCTTCAATATCTATATCAACGACGTGCCTAAGGCACCTAGTATCGATTTAGCTTTATATGCAGACGATACGGCCATCCTAACTCAACATAACAACATCACCACGGTAATCTCTACATTACAGAGTTACCTTTCAGCCTTAGAACTCTGGCTCGGACTGTATAAAATCAAAATTAATGTCGCTAAATGTGCTGCCACTTTATTCATCCGAAGAAACATCCCTCGTTTAGATAATCTAATTTTCTTCGGTGAACCTATTCCCTGGGTTACTACTTACAAATACCTTGGTGTTTTACTAGACTCAAAATTAACTTGGCAACTTCACATTCAAAAAATTATTGCGAATGAGGAAGCTGTCAAAGCCAACCGGCGTCCCTTTTTCACTAAAAATAGCGACCTGTCACTTGATAGCAAGATCTTCCTTTACAAATCTATCATAAGGCCTACTTACGCGAGTCCCATCTTTGGCTCAGCTGCTCTGACTAACCGTAAACACGTTCAAATTTTTCAATGAAAATTTTTACGGCAGATATTAAATGCTCCATGGTTCATAAGGAACGATGACATTCATAACGACCTCAAAATTATGCCCATTAATTGCTTTATACAGCGACTTTCGGAAAGATTTTTCAAAAACATCCATCTTGTTAGAAATCCGGTATTACATACCCTGCCGGTATATGATCCTGCGGTTGCCTCTTCTAAAAAGCAACGCAGAACAATCTTACAACCTGATTATGCTCAACTACCTTTTAAACGGCGCCGGTATTGGAATACAGACGCCCAAGTGGATGCTTACCTCTCATTCCTAAACCCCAACCGCCCCCGCATTAACAAGGTAAGGTCATTCACTGGAGGAACCCTGTTCTTTAACTTTTTAAGAAGAGTCTTCTAACGTTTCTTTAACAAGGGACAACTTATCTCTGCAGCCGCACGCGACTGCACTTAATTTCTCAATAGCTTCTTAAAAGCTTCTTTTCTACCCGCTAAACGGATTGCTTTTGACCCCCCTAAGGGGGCCTTTAAACGTTGCACTAAATAGTGACCAAAAATTTTCTTCTCCTCCATCAGCTGTATGTATCACACTAAACTGCTACTGGAACCCGCCCAACGGGTTACCCCCACAGCCCTTTTTGCCCAACTCTCCGGATTGCTTGTCCTAAGGATTTTATTTTGCTGTTGATATCAAGAATCAAGGAAATGTATTGCACCATTTTATTCTTTTCAAAATTTTTTGAATGTTGACTCCTCTCTGAAAATTTATTCCTGGCCCTTTTTAGACACGAAATCTAATTTAAAGACTTTCTAAGAGTTTTCCTTTTTTCTCATGCGGAAGGCATTATCTAAAAAGCTTTTATTTTTATAATTAGGCTTCAAAATTTTCCCTTATTAGATGACCCCCTCTCTTGATGTAATTATTTCATCTCTGATGATGTGGAGTTAAAGGTCTAGCCTAGCGCACTCCATAAATTAACTTCCTTGATCCTTGATCCTTTTAGTTCCATTTACATCATCATAATTACGTAAGAATCATATGACATAGAATAGTCTCGAAATGATGCAGTGCAGAGAGGGGTTACTATTTTTAGAATAGAGAAGGGAAATTTATGTTGCTAATTTAATAAGATTCTTTATTTTTCTTACATATTCCCCTCCCCCCTTCAAGAAGAAAAAAGTGTAGCAACAGAGAAACCTTTTTAAAGAGAAAGCATTAAAGCACTAGTAAATGAAAAGTCATAAAATTCTCACAATATAAAGTATAATTTATAAACATCAATTTTTTAAAATAAATTTTTAATTTTTAGAGTCACTGAATGTTTTAGCATTTCAGTCCAATAGTCTTTTTGTTTGAGAGTTCACTATAATCATAATTCTTCAGGAAAGGTTCTTGTTATCACAGAATATCACAAAATAAACTTTTACATAATCATTACTTATAATTAAATGTAATGCACATAAATACTATTTATGATATGAATTCTATACTGATAAATTATATTTTAACACCATAAATATAATAGAAGTAACAGTTTCAGAAATTGTGGTTTCACCATTATTATCTTTCATTTAAAATTCCTGATTTTACCAAACTGGAAGGCCTCACAATACTTCTAAAGAAACATATCCATCAATAGGACTGTCCTCTTGAGCTAACCAGTGTTTTCTCTGCACTGGTGGCCCAGGGTGCCTAGGCAGTTACTTGAAAAGGCCTCCGTTCCTTACATAAGGTAACTGGCCTTTGAGAACTGCACTAATACATTCCACAATAAAAAAGGTATAATAATATTAAAAAAAAATTACACACACTCATAAAATAAGAGCCTCCAACATTATCTAACATGAAGAGGATAAAAGGAACAACTGTACAGAGGTAATTACAAGCCTCTGTTTTAGGAACCACTTCCTTGACATACTCTATACTTAACATACAATCACCCATAAATTTTAACATATATTTACAATACTTCATATTACTTGTCTGTACTAATTTCACTTATTTTTTACATCTAATTCATTTTTAGAATAATTATAAAATTCGTATTCAAAATTTTCAACAAAATTTCAAAAATATAAAAACTTATCTTAACAGCCTTCCCTAAAAATAATTAAAAATCTAAGAATTCTTTATACACTTTACTAAATTATTAGAATTCAAATTTCTAATATCATTAAATTACATTTTTTCATATCACAGGGTTACATTTTTAATGTTCAATATATTAAGAAAAAATATCAGTTCCCAATGGAGATTCAATTATTCAAAAGCAGAAAAGAAAATAAATTTCTGACACCTACTTTAAGTGTAAATTTAATCCCATAACTGCGAAAGAACAATCTAAATTATTCGCACATAGCCAGATCAAGATATGCAGTTCGATGACCTTGAAAGCACTGGAATAATTTGAAACGTTGGCACACTCAGAAAACATTCATCATTTTACTATAAACAAATGCTAAATTAATTTTGAAAGGCTGGCACTAGATTTCATTTTTAAAAACTTGCAGCAAACCTTATTATTCAAAAAAATTGTTTTTCCACATTTTGATATCCCTGTTCAAAGTTGCACTTTTTAAATCACTGTATATGCTAGATTAAATTTCAAAGAAAGTTTGTGTAAAATGTAGTAATAAAAGTAAAAACCATAATTTCAACAGTGCTATTCCAAATGATGAAAGTATTACATATAAATATGAAAATTAGTTTGGTGTAAAATTTTAAGATTTATGATTATTCGTAATATTTTATGGGTATATAACATTTTTATAATTGTGATCTAGTATGAAAAAAGTTTTGGAAATCCTTCCCTGGAGTATCGAAATTGTGATGTGAATATTTCAGTAAAAAGAACTTCTCCAGATTGGACTCAAATCATCATAGGACTTTAAAAATTATTATTAAACTCAAAATTTTACATACTATAGTTTTATTGTTCAAAAGCAAATATTATATTTTGTATGTTTCAAAATTATATATCTCATGTTTTGCTACTCTAATGCTTTTTCTCTCAAAAAGGCTTCTCTATAGCTCTGCCTTTTTTTTTTTTTTTTTTTTTTTTTTTTTTTTTGAAAGGGGGAAATGTGTAAGATAAAAAATATGAATGCAAACTTCTAACTTTAATTCACTACAGCCTCTTTTATTTTCTATTTTCATTTGGAAACTTCATCTATCTGTCCTAAAAATAGCGCTTAAGTCTAAACTGCGTCATTCAATTAATCATGCGATCTTACGTAACCCTTAATGCAGATGCCTCTTGATCAATCACCAAATTGAAACCAACACCTTTTCTCTTTGTGTGCTTCCATTTTGCATAACTACGCACCACTTCAGCTTTGCTCTCTACTGTGCTAACGTGTAATTTCGCTGGCTTGCTTTCTATCTCAACAATATCAAAAATGTAAATCTTCTGTGGAAAGGCATGACTGGTGTGTAAAATGTGCCAATTAATTGTGGCCACAAATTATCAATTGCAAATAAAAATGGAATTAAATCTGCCTCGACTGCCAAGTTCTTTAGATATTACCAAGTTAACATTACTAGCATACTGCACAATCAAAATTCTTCAATATGGATCTAAGCACGCTTCGACACTGCTCCGGCTTTTCCATGCGCTTTTACTATTTCATATATAATCTCAATAAATTGCATTTTAAATCAAACAAGGAAATAACATAAGAATGGAAATACATGTTATGTAATCTAAACAATACAAAAAGGAAATATCGACTTATTTAAAAATTTCTGTTTCTTCGGTATGTGAGACACAAAGAATTCCTTAACAGCATCCCAAAACTGTTTAAAATTATCTAAACTAGAATCTCTATACTGCCGTCGCCACATAAATTCACAAAAGTAAAAATGAAAAATATTCTCTGTACTGCCGGACTGTCGATGACATTTCTTTCAAAAGTCTTTTTGTATTACACTCCACATACCTTTCATAGTGTTGATATGAGCTCTGGTTTCCAAATCCTTAAATCTCACTGCTTAATTTACTGAGAGGTGAACGAAGCCATTTAAATCTTCATTTACACACCAGTCAATCAATGTTTTCTTTCCCAGTCATTCTAAAGTGTACAGAAAATTCAGGTTAATTGTACCACCAGCAGGCATTTTATTGCGTAAAGCACAAAATAAGCAACATACTTCCCAACCAACATCCAACACATAAATAAGCCCTTATAAATATTTTTCCATTAGTCAAATTCATCGCAATCACACAACTAGTCATGTCACAATAGCGTTTCCATAACATTCAAATACTCATATTACCATAAATGAAACATCTTGATGCTAAATGAAACAACTTTGCAATAATCCAAGGGGTACCCTAAAATATAGACTAACCGAGCTTACTTATCATAATAGGAGTAATTAAATATTTTTAAGTGACCTTATTTAAAAATACATTTGTTCATGAGAAGTGTGGCTTTTCTTAAAATAAGATTTTTGTTTTCAAATCAAATTTCAGCATAAATGATATTGGTATCATCCTAAAGATCTGTGTTAGTTTTAGAAAGAACATAAATTTGTGTCTCAGCTTCTGAAAGTAATATTTTCTAAATTACTTATCCAAAATATTAAAATTTAACATATGACATTTGTTAAATGCCATATAGTGTGGTAATTATTAAGCATTAATTCTTTTCCTAAAAGTATGTAAAAGATAAGGAATTTTATCTGTGTAAATATTAAGGTTTATGATTGTAGTCTATTGTTTAGCTGTAGGCATAAAATTTTATTAATGATGCATTTCTAAAATTAGTAGATCTGTTATTTTGGTAGATTTTTCTTAATATGTAACTTTGTGTATCTTGAAGGGGGTGTATACATACTTGTGTACATAAAATTAATATAAATTAAATAAATTATACGTATCAAATGAACAGATATAACAAAGAAAAGGATTATTTATTTTTAATTTTATTTATATTTAGGGTTGAATTTTGATTTATGTAAGCATATAGATATGAAAAAGTTTGTCTTTGTTATTATGTACTTTTTAAAAGATAAAAGTGGGTACATGTTTTATATTGATGAATCTTATTTATATATTTTATTTTTTATTTTAGGTTCAACATCTTGTAAAAGAGGAACTATTAATGCAAATTTACCACTTCATCGAGAGAAATTCACTCGCAGTGATTTGGACTCATTAATTGAGATGCATCCTCCAACATTCATGCCTAATGGAAATGTAGGAACAAAAACAAGTCATTTTCTTGAACAAATCAAAGCTTGCAGGTTACCTCCGTCCCTTATCTCCAAACTTGGTCTACAGTTTCCCAGAAATCGATCTAAAAGAATTTATGGAAATGTACCCTTTGAATACAAAAAGAGCAAAAATTCTTCAAATGCTACTACTTCTTTCATGCCAAAAGTGCTAGACAACATCCATTCTAAAGAATCTTGGAGTTTTCATAAAAATACTGATATAATTAAATCTTCAGAGCAGAAAAATGAGGTTTGTAATATTTCATCACAGCTTATCTTAATTTTTTAGTATTATATCTGTAATTAATTTATGATTGTGGCAGAATAGAGACTATTTAATTCATATTAAATTATTGAAATATTTTTTGCCATTTAAGATAAATATATAGATTTTCCTTCTTTTACAGTATGTGTCAAAATATACAGTACTGAAGCTTGTGCATCTCGAACACGTGTGTGCATTTGTCGACTGGGCTTAGCTCCAGCTGCACGTGTTTGCAGTAGTAAAAAGGAAGTTGTGTTGTGCAGTTGTTGTTGGGTGTGGATCATTTGATGGAGGAAAAAGTATTCATAGTTGAACGTTATTTCCACTTATACGGAAGCTGTCATAAAAGTGGACTAAGTTTCAAAAAGGTGGTAGAACAATTTCTAGAGGAGTTTAATAACACAACACCAAGTAACACAGTTATGCTGTCTATTACAAAATTTCACCGGCCTGGTAATGTGCTGTGTCAATGGAAGGCAAAGTCTAGCCAGCCAGTAACTGTTTCAACAAATGTGAATCACGCATATGTTCTCCCACAGGTGCTGCATTTTCCCTGGTAAAGACTACGACAAACAGCCTTGAAACTGAATGTCAGCAGTACTTCCATTTGCCAATTGTTTAAAAACATAGGTGGGTTTCCGTACCAGATACAGATTGATCAATGCTTGACAGAACCAGATATGCGAGCCAGGATGTGTATTGTGGAACATTTTTGGCCATGGCATACAAGATCCAGATTTCTTGAAGAATTTATGGTTCTTCGATGAAAGTCACATTCACTTGAATGGCTATATCAATTGCCAGACAACTCGCTTCCTTGGTTTTCTAGCAGCCCAGTGTTATCATCCAGAAACTGCTACATGTTGCATTTTGACGATATGGCATGCCATCTCAGCACATGATTTATAAGCCCGCTATTTCATTGAAGATGAGAAAGGGATTTAGTGATTACCGTCGCCCAAGAATGCTACAGAGATTTAGTGATTGAGCCATTTATTCAGGATTTGAGAAGGTTCTGTCGTGCAAGGAACATTCAGATAAATAGAAGGTGGTGTCAACAGGATGGGGCGACCAGCCATGCTGCAGGAAAATTTTCCAAGATGAATCATTTCACGTGGTACTGACTTCCTATACTCATTCTATTACCCCGATCTTACACCAACTGATGCCTACTTGTGGGGAATGTTAAAGGAGAGTGTGTTCAACTGTGAAGATTCACCAAGAACTGTGCCTGCATTATGTGAGCAAATCATCTCTCCTTTTGCAGGAGTCTACAGCAACCTTTGTTGCAGGATATATTTGAGAATCTGTGTGAACAATATGAAGGTGTGAGGTGGTGCACACTTTGAACAGTTGCATTATGCATACCATGGTAAATTAACATGCTAATAGTATGTGCGTATGCTAATTTTTTTCAGGAGAAATAAACTCACAAATGACAATAATGTAATTTTGTTCATCTTTTCATTTCAGTATTGTATATTTTGGCGCATATTGTACTTCAATTTCGATTTGTTTGTTGATATTATAAATTGGAAGTTAACTGAAATTAAATGTAATAAACTGAAAAAGAAGATTAATATGGTTACACCACAAGTAAATTTAATTTGCTTAAATATATAAAATTAAAAGGTACTTTTCCGTTTCGCCGGCACAAATCTCACCAAGCAGACTTTGTTGGCAACAACATACAGTATACACATAAAAAATGTTAACAAATGTTAATTCTAAGAACTTTTTATTTTGAAGGCATAAACATTTGAATATGTTTTAACATTTTGTAAAAAGCCAATAAATAAAGACAATAAATTTGTGAAAAGACATTCATGATTCAAATTCGTGATTCTCTGATTCGTATCACTTGATCCCAAGTGATCTCATCTCACGTAAACTATGCTACAAAAATCTAATTCTATCAGTAATTATCTACTTTAATTTCAAGTTAAATCTTAATTTGGATTACAAGTTTAAATGCAAGAATTATTTCAATTTCGTATGGATAGCTTACTTAGAAATTATGTAAAACCACAGTGCTTTACTTCGCTAGTGCATTCTCATTAGAATTGATGAATTTAACACTTGATTTTGCCTTTTCTATATTTTCGCCTTCATGTGAGCGGAGTGATTGCATTCTAATTAACTTAATTCCCGCAAATTGTCTAAGCACATAAAATTTAACTATCTTGTAAAAATTCTATGTAATTGTATGCCAGCACTGAAAGAAACCATCAATCTGATAAAAAATGGCTGCAACTTGTTTTGAAAATGAAGGTAAATGGTTATCAGTGAAGATATTCCTTTTGACATCAGTTGTACCATTATTGGCGACTTTATTGTTTGCACCGGCAAAACGGAAAAGTACCAATTAAATAAATGTGCCACTTAATGTAATTTTTTAGAATTGTCATTTTTTGTCTAGGTTAAAAATTTTAGTTTTTATAAAAATATTTCTTATTGTATGTGCCCTAAGATCACCAAATGTGGCGATATGTGTTCTGCGCTGGTTTCTGGCGCGATTGCGTGTTGTATGGCAACCCCTTTGATGTTGAATACTCTTTTGCTGGAGTGTTTTAATTGCTGGTTGGTTCGTGTTGTGTGTGTTTTGAAATGTTGCAATGAGAGACGTGGTTGCAAGAGGGTCTGGGAGATTATTTTTAGTGGCTGTGCATGACAGAAATAAGGAAATGCTGATGCAGTGTATTAAAGATGGATTGAGCCTTGTACAACTGTTTTTTCGGATGGCTGAAAATCTTACAAGGATTTAGGAAAAGAAGGTTTTGAACATTTATTTGTGAACCATAGTATGAATTTATAGATAGTGTGTCTGGCTGTCATATAAATATGATAGTGATTATGTGGCGGCATGAAATTGGTATTTCTGCTGTTTGAAAAAGCATTCATTCATGGTATGTGCATTTTATTTTATTCTTGTTCTTATATTGTAGAATGCTATGTTCATTGTTTTTTAGTATAAATTTTTGTCATTATTGTTTTTTTTTTTTGAATTTTTTAAAATTTATTTTAGTTTATTTTGTTGATTAGTGCATAGTGCCTAGATTGTGCAATTCGTAGATGTTTTTTTAAGTTGAAACAGAATGCTGTGTGCATGGTATTCTTTAAAATTGATTGATGTTACGTTAATTTATTAATGCGAGGTGTGCGTAGTTCGTAGATTTTTTTGCTGCCTAGATTGTGCAATTCGTAGATGTTTTTTAAAGTTGAAACAGAATGCTGTGTACATGGTATTCTTTGAAATTTATTGTTATTATGTTCATTTATTAAAGCGAGGTGTACTGCCTATATTGTGCAAGTCATAGATTTTTTTTTAAGTTAAAACATATTGCTGTGTACATGGATTCTTGTCAAATATTTTTGGTTAGAAACTTTACGTTTTTGTTATCTAAATTTTTTGCTTTTGTTTCGGATTTTTAACTTAAATTGTGTGTTCAAAATGTGGTTTTTGGAGACATTTTAGGCTTAAAGTTTGAAATGTAGACAAAAAATTTAGATAGTAATATGGCACCATGGAGTTTCTCGCCAAAAATGTTTGCCGAGAAATTTGCCGACTTGAGGGCGTATATAAGAATAGTTCCATATGTATTATAGCCAAAGCCCAAAGTGTGACCCCCTTTGTAAATTGGTCAGTCAATATAGGCAAAGCTTAAAATATGTGACAATTTATGATTACGTCAGGCTTCAGCCTGCTACTTCTAGATTTCTCCAAACAAAACTGAAATCATCATTACTTCACTTTAATTTTTAACAAAATTGATATATTCTTGGTAAATAAAAGATATTTGCTATATAATAATTCATCTTTTAAAAGCTTGATATATGTATCATTAAAGCAGAACTGGAAGCAGGCTCATCTTCAAGGTAGGGGATGTAGACAGCAACCTAGGGAGTTGATTTTTTAAGTACACCAGCTTAATTGTTCTCATAAGCTAGAAAATATCGTGATGGACTTGTGTAATGATTAAAATGCAGTAATTCTTGACATTAAGTGTGCTGAAGAGTGGAGTTGAATATCCCAAAGGCATAAAACAAGAAACAATGCCTCTTATATATTAGAAGGGTAAAAAAGCTGCACCTGAAAGCCTGTGTGAATCATAGTATACGATACTTGGATGTTGAAAGGGAATGCTGAATGTAATTATATCTCTGGTATTGTTGGTCATGTTTTACCACTGTAATTTTGCTAGTCTAAGGCTAGCTTTAGACAGATCATGTTATTTCTGTGTGAGGGATAATCATTAATTTTCGAATTCACTTTTATTCCTCATCTAAATATAATATCTTTGATTTTAAATTTCTTTTGCATCTTTCTGCTGCTATAGTTATTTTGTATTTATTTTAAAGTATTAGTTATTTAATTGCAAATATCATCAAAGTTTATTTTAAAACAATAAAATACATACAGTTCAAGTGAAGATCCCATATATTTCTGTAATGTCATTAAAACATTGCCATTCTGTTCACTGTTGGTGGAACTGACTAAAAAGTGAAGGAAATAAAGCAATCTGGATATGAATATAGAAAAAAGGAAGGCTAAGGTGGAAGAAGAAACTAAAAAATTATCCATTACTAAATTTGTATAATATGAAACAATTGCAGGAGCTGAAAATATGGAGTCTAGTATTGGGAAGTCAAAATAATAAATAGCATTTAAAGTCAGCAATAAAGGTTTCATTGTTTTATGAAAAGTGGGTAGTATAAACAATGATAGTGAAAACACATTTCATATATGATTTGACAAAGCTTCACTATCTGCTGATAAAAGTGTTCAGGTCTGCCTATGCAGAAAACTGAATGCAAATCTGAGTGTCATGCTTTCAGCACAGAATCTGAATAGCTTGATAATTTATCAGATCCATCAATGTAGCTGTTACAAACTTGAGATTATCTGCTAATATTAGAACTAAAACCATAAGAAAATTATGTGTATCGTAGAGATAAGAATAGTGATAATTTTCTGTCAGTTTGTTTATGAGAATTTAGGGAAACAGTGAGTAAGATGTTTAGTACATTGAAAGAGTACTAATGGTGAACTGAAAAACATACAAGCAGCATCAAAAAGCAACTAGGTATGTCAAAGCATATGTCCGATGGATTGAAGCAGAAAGATGATTGAAAGAGAACATGGGCATTGATGTCAGCAGAATGGGAAAAAAACTGATGGTGAAGGAATGTACTGGAAATGGTTTCTTAAGAGACTAATGACAATTCTTCAATATTTTGTCAAAACTGACTCAGCTTTAAGCAGAGCAAGCAGCAAGTTATTTGAAAAAGGTAATGGGAATCTTCATTAATTTGTCTGGTTATTTGAACCGATTGACTCTGTACCATGGAAGTATATCTGGAGAATTATGGCAGATCAAATGAAACAGGCTTTTTATTTAGGGAAGAACATTCAAAACGAACTTCTTTTAATGGGAGCAAAATTTATCAAAAGCAAAGTCAGTATGACAAAATATTATTCTGTCATCCTCGATTGCATACCAGATGTAAGCCATAACGAACAAATGTCTATGACAATAAGATATGTTGAAAGGAGCAGGAATATTTTCAAACCTGTAGAATGTTCCATGGAGTTTCTGGAAGCCAAAGATACTGCTGATCTAGGATTGAAAGCATTATTGTTGGAATCTTTGAACCAGAATAATATTTAGCTTGATAATTGTAGGTCAGGGATATGAAAATAGTGCCATTATGAAAGACAAACATGTAGACATTCAATGGAAGATTTTGGATTTGAATTGCAATACATTGTATATTCAATATATTGTATATGTGTAGCGTGTCTTTTTAAATTTAATATTCAGTGGTGCTGCTAAATCATTTTCCAAAACAGTATTTTTATTCAGAATTCTTTACTGTGTCAATAGTTTTTTCCTCTGAATTAGTGAATAGATGGAAAATTTTGAAGGTACTTTCTTCAGTGACAAGACCTTGATCAATCATATTTAATGTAGTTAGCCTAGATACCTTTAAGCAATATACTAGGCTATTCTAGGTCATTATGTATTCTTAATAGATCATTTGATGAACTTTTTATCTATTGGTCTGTTTACATATTTCCTTTAAATGAGATTTTTTGGTTATCTGTTTCTGTCAAAGTGGTAGGTCTGCTTCTTTTGCTTACATGTGATTTTTGTGATCTTTTATTTTTATTTATTTATTTATTTGCAGTCTTTTAGCATTTCAGCATATCAGCACTTTTTTCATAAGGTAATGGAGCATTTTTAAAAACTTTTTTGTCTTTTTATTGGAGTTATTGCACTGAATATTAAAAACTGTGTAATTAACAAAAATATTGCATATTTAAAATAACAGATAATATTAGCATGTGTTAGTTCATGTTTTATACCAAGGTCTGCTTTTAAATTCATTGTTGTGATGCTTTTTGTAAATATTTTCTCTTAAAATGCACCATTGAGTTAAAAATATTCATTTTTAACACAGTTATAAAGTCCAGTGTATTTTAGCTCAGAATTTATAAAGCTTACTGTAATCGGAATTAGATGAATTGAATCAATTGAAATCAATTGAAATTTTTTTTTAAATGTAACCTATGTAACTTTTGTGTGCAGGAATCAGAATCTGAGGAGGAAGAGTGGGATCGACATGAGGCCCTTCATGAGGATGTCACAGGGCAGGAAAGAACAAAAGAAAGACTTTTTGAAGAGGAAATTGAACTAAAATGGGAGAAGGGTGGCTCTGGTTTAGTTTTCTATACAGATGCACAGTTCTGGGATGCTCAAGAAGGAGATTTTGATGCCAAGACTGCAGATGACTGGGATATTGATATGAGCATATACAATGATTTTGGTAAGAAAGTTCTCTTTATGTTGGATGATGTTTTGATCAAGTTTGATTTTTCTAAAACTCAAAATTTGGAACATTTTTCACTAATGGATAAAATAAATTGAAAATAAGAACACTTTTTGCTATGTAAATCTCAAAATCCTTTTGTTAGGAAGGCATATAAATGTCAAACAGAACAGTGTTTGAATTAATATTTTTCATAAACTGAGTAAATGAATCATTATTCATTGTTACCTACCATAGCTAATCTAATCCCCAGGCAAAAAACAGCCCATTTCCCCATTTATTTAAATTAGAAGTAGGATGAATCCAGAATTTTATTGAAGCTGAATTGTGAAAATTCTTAGATCTTTTGGATTCTTTGTGTAAGAATAATGTTGAAAAAATTGTTTGTCATATCACTCCATAAGCCAGTCTCAAGCTATCATGGGATAATGAAAAATAAATAGGAGGGGAGGGGAATCATGTACCCAAAATGGTCGAATATAAAAACAAACTTGTGTGACATGTGTAATGAGCATTGGCATTGGAAGTTATATGTGTTCAGTTCCTGTGGCTGTATTGAATATTACAAAGATATATGAAAATAAAGATTACACATTTAATTTAATGGTGTGTTTATCTTATTAATGTCTCCTGTACAAGGGTGTGACTTAATTAAAAAAATTATGAGTGTAAATTTTGAAGTCTATGTTTTAATGAAAAGTAAATTTGAGAATAGAATACAGTTTTTAAAAGCACACCTATATTTATTAAGATACAAACAAAATCTAGTGAATGAAATACATATTTAATTTTGTGGTTCATTTCCTCAGTCTTATCTGACAAAAAATATTTGAGTAGTAATTGAATTTTTTTACATTCTTCCAGAATCGTAAATTAATGCAATTATAGAGAGAAAATTATTATTTCCAGAGTTAATACAGATGAACGCTAAGCATAAAAGGCTAAATTCAGAGAATTAAGAGTATGGTTCTCAGAGTCAACACAAAGGGACCTTGGTGATGCAAGTCCACTGATGTTGCAACAATCACATTATCTTTTTAATGAATATTTCTGTTACATCACAGAAAAATCATCTTTCTGAAATTTTAATTCAAAATATTTTAATTTAGGATTCAAAAGATCTCAAAGTTTTTAATTCTTAAATCTTTTTCAAGATTAGTAGAGCTGAGTATGCCATTTCAGGTGGCTGATGATTATTTGATCTCGGCCACAAGATAGAAGCTGAAGGAAATGTTGCATATAAAACTGGATTTTTTTTTTTTTTTTTTTTACTTCTTTGTACGAAGTAAAGGAATTATTGTAATCACGAAAAATTATGAGTGTTATATTTTAATTAAAATATCCATTTTGACCACTATCGAAAGCAAATGTTGTTTTTGCATGACATCTGTATGTAAGGACAGAATAAAAGACTCTTTTTACCAAAATGGGCTGCAAAAAGGATTTAAAATGGATTCAGAAGAGATTATTTCATGATGTCTTGAAACCCAAAAATGTATACACACACTCTGTTACTTGGCTCTGTGAGCTCGTTTATATATATAAACTCGGCGTCTAGGGGATTTCTACGCTGACGACACACATTTAGGTGACTAAGTATTTATTTAGATATTGATGGAGATACAGTGATGAGTATTTACAAATGAAAAAAAAAAAGAGTTATAATTGAAAAGTAAATAGGTTCGCCATCTATTAATATGTCTTAGTCGAAAATATGACTTTTCTCTTTCGCTTTCCTCGTCCATTTCTCGTGTCACTGCAATGCCGTTCGCTGTGTTGAGTTGTTGCACTCCTGCTACTCACACTCGGGTATCCTAACACGACAGGGCCTCCTGGCGATGATGGAGTTACAAGAAAATCTGAAAAGAGTAAATAAAAAAAGGTCGTTTGGATGGGAACCATCATGGAACATCCTGAGTAAAAAAAAAAAGGAAACGTCATTTGCTTGGAGTGTCAATTGATCATCCTGGAACATCTTGAGGGAAAAAGAAATGTCACTTCTCCAGACTATCTTTAATGCTGAAGCATCTTTAGGAGCATATCTGGGATATCTTGGCAAGGCCAAAAAAAATTAACATTTTAATAAATCTTGTATATATAAAAATTCTTTGTAGAGAGGGAAAAGAAAAAAAAAAAAAAAAAAACTTTTCAACTGATTAAAAAAAAAATGAAGAGGAAAAAAATGAAAGTTAGTAAATATTAAATAGAATGTCCAATTGTAGAGTATAGCAATTCTAAATTAAGAGTTCATTGTTGAAAAGGCCATGGTTTCATCAAATCAGCAGCTGTGGAAGTTTTATTCGGACCTTCATGTATTCCGACTTTCTCTACCTCATAGCGGTCATTTGGCTTAACAGCTGTGACTTTGTAAGGTCCAAAAAATCGGGGACGGAGTTTGATTCCAGTTCCAAATTGAAGTGCGACTTGATCACCAACTTTGTATAAGTTTGGTTGTTTGCGGCATTTGTTATATTGACGTCTATTTTCTTCTTGAAGTCTGAGAATATTGTTTTTCACTTCATCGCGTAATCTTTCTTTTTCTTGTAAAGTGGATTGGAAGTGTTTCCTCTTCAAGTATTTGCTTAATTTTGATATCGTCTTTGTTTTTCAGCTTTATTATTCCAAAAAGTAATTCAAAAGGCGTGAACTTAGTGGCTTTGAGATGTAGTGCTATTTATGATTCTCTGCACAGAAGCAACATGTTTAAACCACTTTTCGGTATCTTCTAAAGATAGCTTAGTTAAGACAGGAATCAAAATATACCATGCATGCGTTCAATCTGTCCATTTGCACGTGGAACGCCCGTAGTTATTGTGATGTGTTCAATATTCTCGTCATGACAATAGGTATAAAATTCAGTTGAAGTAAAAGCTGCACCCCTGTCTGAGATAATGTGTCGGGGATTACCAAAAGTTGTTTGCTGTAATTTCAATTTGTCGACAGCAGCTTGAGTGGTTGTTGATTTAACAGGATAAAGCCAAAGAAACTTTGAGAATGCATCAACAACTGTAAAAAGATATTTGTAATTCTTGTTTGTTGACGGCAGTGGTCCCAGAAAATCTATATGATAAGTATCAAGTGGTGTATCGCCTTTTGGAATCGGATGAAGAAAACTTTCCGCTTTACCAGCCTTTCTGGAAGAAAGAATGCAGGGTACGCAGTTCAAAATGATTTTTTTAACAATCGCAGATAAATTAGGGATGTAATATTCACGTTTAATAATGGATTCTGTTTTGAGAGCAGAAAAATGACCTTTAGAGTGAACATTTTGCACTATTTCGGTTTGCATTGCCTGAGGTACAACTAATAGTTCTTGGTCTTCAACTATTTTATACAGAACACCGTTCTTTAAGTTCTTTAGGAGTAGTCATCTAAAGGGTTTTTTTTCTAAAGTATGTTTGATCCCCGTAATGAAGTCATCACTTGATTGTGCGTCAATAATCTTTGAGTGACACTGTCAATGGCAATTAACATGACAGGGAAACGACTTAGAGCATCTACATGTTTCATAAGCTGTCCAGAGCGGTGTTTTATCGTGTAATCAAAGTCTTCAAGGTAAAGAGCCCATCGAGCAATTCTGGGTGTTATGTCTTTTTTAGACATAGTTTTTTTCAAAAGCAGCGCAATCTGTAACAATATCAAATTTTGTTCCGGCTAAATAATGTCTAAATTTTTTAAGGGCTTCAATGATGGCTAGGATTTCTAGTTCATAACTGGAGTATTTCTCTTCTTGGGGGGGTAGTTTTCTTGCTCATATAGTAAATTGGGTGGAAGGAACCATCAGTGCTTTGTTGCAAGAGAACAGATCCGTAACCGTATTTACTTGCGTCACAATGAAGTTGAAGCGGTAAACCTTGTTGGTAAAGGTGCAGAATAGGATCACTGGAAAGTGCTTCTTTCAGTTTTAAGAAAGCGTGCAAGACCAAACTCAAAATGAGCGGACTCAAGTAGTAAGTCACTGAGGGGTTTTGCAATTTTGGCATAATGTTGAATGAATTTTCGAAAGTAACCAGTTAGGCCAAGAAACCTTTGAACCTGTTTAGCTGTTTTGGGTTCAGGAAATGACTGTACAGCGCGTGTTTTGGATGGTGAAGGTCGAATGGTGCTATCTTGAATAACATAACCTAGGAATTCAATTGTTTTCTTTAGAAAGTTGCATTTCTGAAAGTTTATTTCTAGACCATAGTCTGAGGCAAGTTGAAGGACTCGTCGTAATTTTTTAATTCCGTCGTCTTCGTCCTTAGATGGAATAATTATATCATCCATATAAATTATAACAGTCTGATCACTAATGAGAGGTCTGAATATGGTATTGATAAATCTTTGAAAAACGCTAGGAGAGTTGCACAGTCCAAAGGGAACTTTAAGGAATTCATACTGGCCTTCATGAGTAACAAATGCAGTGTATTTGCTGCTTTGGGGATTCATGGGAACATGAAAAAAGCCGTTTTTCAAGTCAAGAGATGTAAAGATCTTAGAATTCTGTAAATTATCAAGAATTTGCTCTATAAGGGGTAGAGGAAATTTGTCTTTCACTATTTTCTTGTTAAGACGTCTGTAATCTATACATAGTCGGTAAGATCCATTTCGCTTTTTGCAGAGGACAATAGGGGCAGCAAAATCGGAGCAACTAGGTTTTATAATTCCTTCGTTCAGCCACTGCTAGGATTTGAGCTTCTACAATACGTTGTTCGGCTATAGATAAGCAGGCGAGGACGTTGACTAACAGGGATTTCATCCGTTAAAATTAAAGACATTTGCAAATGCAGTTGTTTGGGTTTTATTAGGTTTGTAAGCCGAAACTAGGTGTTTGATTTGTGAGCGATGATCTGGATTGGTAAGATGCGTTAAATCAGGAGAATCAGGTTCATCGAAAATATTTACAATATTAATTAGAAAATTATGGTCAGGAGTTTCTGCTTCTATTAGTTTAATACCATGCTTTCCAATAGAAAATTCAGCTTGCTGGATACAATCACTTCCAATAATTGCGTCAACAGATAGTAGATTATCTTCAATAACATGAATGTCAGTTTTAAAATTTGTATTTTGAATTTTGAAACAACCTGTGAAATATCCTACTAGGTGTACAATGCGATCACCAAGTCCTGATAATGTTATAGAAGATTTTTGAAGCGCTGGAGAACCAATTTTTTGATATGTTGATGTGTTAATTATAGTAGCTTGACTGCCAGTGTCAATCAATGCTGGAATGATAATGTCAGAAATATTGATGTGAATCATCATAGAATGTAGAGGGTGTGACTGTATGACAACTTGATTGAGCATTGTCTCCGGTTTTTTGTGACGATGGAGGTGATGCACGACTTGGTTTCTGAGTACAAGTAGACGATTTATGGCCAAATGAATCGCAGGAAAAACATTTAGGTTGTTTATGAGAACAATTAGAACTTTTATGGCCTTTAGACCCACAATTGTAGCAAACTATAGGTTGGGTAGGCTTCTGAGAGATTTTGCTCTCTAAGTGATGAGAATTATTCTGTTTAAATTTTAGATCACTAGAAAATTTACCATGTGAAGACACAAGCTTTTTATAAATTTTTAACTTGTCTTTGAATTCACTTACAGTTTTACAACCATATAATAAAATTTTGTGAGGGTTTTCTGGAATACCATTTATCACATAATCAAAAATAGAAGACATGTCAATTTGACCTCTAGAACCAATTTCTCTCATAGCAATAAAATAATTGAATAATGATTCATTTGGCTTTAAACGTCTTTTAAACATCAGTTTATGCAAATCTGCACTTTTAAGTTTAGAGGAAAATTCTTCTAACAAATATTTTTTTTAACGTAGTAAAAGTTTTGATACCATGTAAAGAATTTACAAAAGTTTTAGCAGAGCCCGATAAGCACTTTTTGGTGAATATAATCTTGTGAACATCATTGGTAATTCTATTCAGTTCAAATAATTCTTCTATGTCATTTAAAAAAGATTCGATTAAATTATCAGAAGAACCATCAAAAGGTTTAATACATTCGTATAAATCACGAAACGTTATGAATTGTTGTTCATTTACCATCGATGACATGACAGGCGTATGATGTGTTCGACGGTTATGTAAACAAATACCAGAGCTGGAAGTCTGCGCGTTTTGGCTAGCTGCCAAGTTCGAACAAGTAATTGATTGCGTAGTGGTTTCAAAATCTTTATGATTTTCGCCAATTAACTTTTGTTCAGGGTTTTTGAATTCGTTGTCAGAATCGGAATCAGAAATAGCAGTTTCTAATAGCAAATCGAAATTAGTTAAAGCATTCACAATTGTAGTATAATATTCTTCAGTCGAAATGGCACTTTCTAAATTCAGAACATTAAGAATCGAAATTAGATCTGCCAGAGTGAAAATATTTAATAAACGTGCCTTAACTTCGGCAGTGTGAAAAGAGTTATCTAGTCCTGTGAATTCACGAAGTCGTTTGCGATTTGCCCGGTCGCCTTCTTGACCAAACACAAATTTATGTAGCAGCTTAATTGCTTTCGTGGGAGCTGATTTTAAGGATTTAGCAATATGTGGTATATCATTTAGAGCTGACATTGTCACAACTTAACTATATTGTAAGAAATGGTTAAGTAAAGGTTAGACAAAAGATAGCTTACTGAGAATCAGTCAGGATTACATTAGATGAAAGAGCACATGTTATGAGTGTGCTGTTGCATTATGATTATCCATAATTGGTGCAAAATTTCACTACTTGGCATGAGTTTTGCAGTTAGTGGAATGATACATAAGTACCGTTAAGACCCCTTTTAAGCTTGACACCCATTAAGCATGCAGCTGCTGTCTTCTGGACCAGCATTTGTCAAACTATTTCAAGTGGGGACCACTTTTATAAATTAGATAGTCTTTGGAGCATCTTGCCGTTTTGCCTGTATGAAAACAATTTTTTAGTATATGTTATTACCAGTATACTTATACAGTACAAAGTCCATATTCCGGATGTCCATTATCCGGAATGATCTATAATCCAGACCTCAAAGCCACAAACTTATGCATGCGCAGTTCATGCGCGCGTCCACTCCGTATACGCGTAAAGCCAGTGAAACGTTTACACATGCGCGCTTGTGTGAAAATCGTGCATGTGAAATAGTGAAGAAAGTGATAGAGAGGTTATTGAAAACAAAAAAATTTTGATTGACAAGTTAGTCGGTATTCTCGACACAGCAATTAGAGTATTTGAACAGTGGAACTTTGTGACTGAACAAGAAATTATGTCTGTTTATAGAAGAGAGAATTAAAGAGAAAGTATTAGCACAAAAAATGAAGCAACTTAAACAACTTACATTGAAAGAAATGTATAATAAAGTAAACAAATAAATATAAAGGTTTTTTTTTTTTTTTTTTTTTTTTGTAAATTTTGATACCCTTTAGATCATAATTGCTCTTTATTTCATAATTTACAGTTTCATATTTTTAGTTGTTTAATTTCTGCATGCCATCTTACCAGATTTAAATTGATGATCTATAATCCGAAATCGCCGAAGTCCCGATGAGTCTGGATTATAGACTTTGTACTGTATTTAAAAAAATACAATTAATTAAAATTCATTCAATTTTATAGCAAGTGTGCAGAGAAAAAAACTTATAATCATTTTTAATAAATCAAAGCTATCATAGTTTGGGTAATCTTTGTCAATTATAAACTAAATAAATGTTTGTACTTATATTAATCAGAAAGATGAGCCTGCCAAATTTTGTATATGTATGGATGTATGCAGGTAAAAACACCAAAATCGCTATGCTTTAAATTGCTCTTTTGTAGCTAAGACTAGAGTGGAAATTTCATAAATAAAGTAACTGGTAATAAATTTCAATCTTAGGATGGAAGAGAGAATAGACAATTGCCATGTGTAATTTTCAAGCACAGAGTTTTTTGGCTATAATGTGGTATATGCACTTAATTTGAATTTTATTTTTGTCTTTTTGGAAATGTAAGATCAGAAGGGCAGTTTATGAACATAATGTTATAATTAAATATTTTTATAATTACAGGACCAGCTAATGACAAAGATTCACAAGATTTGGCAAGAATGCGACTTGAAAGGAATTTGAGGGATGGGACAGAAGCAGAAATAGATAATCAATATGATTTTGCAGCATTTGAAAAATACAGTACAGTATGTATAATATTTTAGGTTTATCTTTTTATACTTTTAAATATAAAAGTTAAAGTTTATTCTGTATAAATTCTTTATTTTCATAATTATAGATTATTGTTTATAGATCCTTTATTTTATCACACCCTGACCCAATAAAATGGCAGTCTGTAATTACATAACAAAATTTAGTGTAAGAGGGAAAATGTGCGAAACTGAAGACTTATTATAACTTTTTAGGATTGAATATATTGTTAATACATCAAGATAAATGAATGGGTGTATTATAAATATGCATAATGCAACCTCTTCATTTATCAATTCATAAATAGTATAATAGTTAACAAATTTAAGCTTTTAAAAACTTATTTGGATACTACATTCCATGAGCTGAGAGTATCTAAGTAACAGTTTATCCTAGAATTAGTATATAAATTATTATTTGAGGTCACTCCAAATTATATTTTAATAACATAATTAATGCATTTGTGCTAATTCCTGAATCATAATTTATAAAGTTGATCAGACTTTTACCTGAATTTATTTAAAAAATGTTTAGGGATTTGGAAGAAAGATTTTAGAATCTCAAGGATGGAAGCAAGGGCAAGGAATTGGTAAACATGCAGCTGGTATACCTGAACCTATTCTTAATGATGGACAACATCCTTTAGATAAGAAGGGATTTGGGTAAGTTAGCACACTCCAAGAGTTTTCATGTCTTATTTTTTAGAAATTATCTTTCAGGTGTTCGAAAAATTTGTTTTTAAATGGTCCTAATTCCTATGGCATGGCGGAATTGTAGCACAGCTATGACTAGTCAATGCAGAAGTATGCATATGCTTAAATTGTTTGGCTGTATAATTATGTAAGATGTTTAAAAAAATACTAACAGTCTTTTTTAAATTGATTCTAGAAAAGTGGTCTTACATAGTTCCAATTTCTAATAGTTCTAGTGGTAAAATGAATAATTGTTATAGCTAATTATCATATTAATGCAAATTAATAATTACTCTTCCAGGAGGAATGTGCATGTAATCAAAATGAGTAATGATATAAAAAAATTAAAATTGAACTTCTGTTAAATTGTTGATTCTGTTTTTTAACTGTGCACTGTAATATATTTTTCTTTTTTATTATTGTTTGAAATATAAATCTAAAAATGCATGAACACCCACACAATTTAAATATGTTTAGTGACCTCAAAATATTCATAATCTTTTGTGTCAGTTAAAGAATTAAAGAACAAAAATTGCAAGTTTTATAAGGATGTATAGTATAAAAATAACCACTGAAAAATTGGAGTTGTATAAAAAATTCATAAAAAAAATTGAATGTATATTTTCTAATTTCTATAGATTGTTTTGTGCAGATTTCAGACATATGATTCAAGTTTTCAATAGAAAAAGTGGATTAATGTCATAATGTTTAAAGAGTTTTTATTATGTTTTATTATTCATCTTTTATGTTATTTGTGAATCTTTTGGATCACTTGTTAGGCAAAAATACTTTAGGCTGGTTATTATCTTGTAAGTAGAAAAAGTAGGTAGAAAAATACATATTATTACCATAATAAATTTAATAATAAATATCAACTGTATGGTCAACCTGTATTTTCAGAAACTGCACAAAATTCAAGCATAGATTGATGTTTATTTTACAGACAGAATATATATTGCTTTATGAAAAAAAGCATCTATGTTGAGATTTCCCCAAAACACATTGAGGTTTTATATACAATCATCATGAAAGTGAAGTTGAATTTTATCTTAATTGTAAAGCTTAAATTCAAATGCTTATGTTCCTTATACTGTATAATCAGAGATTTGACTGCTTAATGGAATTGGAAATACTGAGGCAACACATTATGCTTCCTTAGGGTCTTCACTTACACCGTTACCATATCTGTGCATCTTCAGTACTGTGTTGATTCAGGTCTTGAAATAATCCATATATCATTCATTGAATGAACCATCAATGCTAATTTGAATGCTTAAAACTTTTTCATTTGAGGCAAATACCGGCCTAAAATAATGTAAAGCCCAAAATATGGGCATCCAATATCCGGACTCTGGACCCCAGCCAAAAATAAATAAATAATAAAAAAAAACTTGCTTCCTTACAAAATTTAGCAATGGAGAATATATAATAAACAAAGGGAGGCAGGTGCACCATAAATTCAATTTTTCTGCTTACTAACTGAGATTTCTGCATGTAACTATCAAACATCTAGCTAGGGAGTTGCACTGTAGCCACTAACAATATATTGATTGATATAATATTGGAATCGGTCAATGAGTAGGTGTGGTGGAAGGCAGCATTAGTGTTATGCATTTTGCCACCTGGTGGGTGCACTATCTGCAAATTCTAAATTTTGCTGTCCAGTTATCCTTAAATTCTAAAAATTTTATCACCTCTAAATTCTGCTGTGCCTTTCCTAAAAATCTAAAAATTTTACTATTCCTGATTTTGCTGATTGGTGCTCTTCTAAATTCTAAAATTTTTCCTGCTTCTAAATTCTGTTGTATAGCATGACCACGCTAGCTCTTTTAGGGTATTAGCATTCTTTTATCTGATCTAAACAATAAGCGAAGACCCAATGTTGTTATGTCTGCATGTCATCTTACTAGATGTAAACTGATAATCTAAAATCCACAAATCTTCTAAATCTGGAATAGCCAAAGTTCTGATGATTCTGAATCTCAGACTTTGTACTGTATGTATATATAATATGCATTCAATAGCATTTATCTTAACATTTTAATTATTTTTAGATGTATTTACATACATATTATATATATATATATTTACATAAACTTAAAGCATCTAAAGTTAATATTAAATTGGAATCAAAGAAAGGCAATTCCTTAACAATATTAATAATTGTAACCGTGTATAAGATGTTTAACACAATATTTAAACAAATCAAAATTAAAATAAGAATTCATGGTAGAACAAATTCAAAAAATAAAAATGCAAAAGGGAAAATATACAAAATTCTAAAAATATACAAATTCTAAAAATTAATCTCCTTTTACTAAAACTCCAGTTTAGAACTCATCAGGGGAAAATGAATTAAAGTTACATATATTTACTCCCCTTTTTCTTTTTACTAATTTTATTACCTGAAAATTAAGAAAATTATACAGATAATTTAATTTCTAAAGGACATGATTACAGTAAGAACATATTAAAGGAAAAGTAACCACGGATAAACTACAAGTAACTATCACAATATTATTTCTTTAAAAGAAACCTACATTCCAATAATAATACACAATGATATTAACAAAATAAAATATCTGATAAGATATCATCATTTCTATTTCCCAGTAATTTCAATTCCATCTGTTATTACTGTCACTGCTATGCCTTAGGCCTCAAATCATCTATAAATAATTAGGTAAGGTAAATGTGCAGTTGATTCAGAAAAATTATCAACTGAATTTGAGTTCAAATTTGCTTTGCGGTCATGGGTCAGTTCTTGTATTAGGTTGACATAAATTTCAACTGTTAGAAGGGAAAAGTCCATGAAATTTGCATGTAGTTCTGTGTTTCGTAGATTAAAAACAATAACTGCATGAAAAAATCCATTTTAAAATTTAGGGGCACTCCTTTTCTGAAAGCACCGAGGAAGGGGGAAATTACACGAATATTTAAAACATTTTTAGAACCTGGTGCTAAACAGTTAAAGGAGAAATATATGAGGAAATAGAGCATATATAATAGTTTGGGTATGGGTGAAGATACTGAAGCATAAATAAGTTGTTGCAAACATGGCCAAATTAAATATTTCTTTTTATCTTTGACATTTGTAACCACAAATAACTTAATGTGACACGTACATCTATTCCAGAACTTATTTTTTGAACATATTTTTGATCTCATTGAGGTAAGAAGAGAAGCAGTGACATAACAGCTAAGTAGCAAGAAAGTATGAAAGCAAGTGAGACGTGTTCAAGATGAAAATCTTAGTTCAGAATTGTTTGGCTTCAGTATCAGTTTAATTTTTATTGGTTAATTTTAAAGGTCTAAAATTATCATTGACTGAAAACTCATGTTATTTGCCTCAGGGCGTCATGCAAGCTATTAATTTTGAAATGACATAGTTTAAGAGACGTTTGTTATTAGTTCTAGAACAGAAGAGGGAAATATCAAAATTAAAATAGAGTTAAGGAGCTATTAATAAGTTAGAATTTTGCTTTACATATTTTTTAATTTATATAGATAATGATTTAGATATTAAAGACAGATGTTTAAGGTATAAAGTAATAGTTGCAGATGTAATAGCCAATTTAATATTCCCCGACCCCTTCATTGATAAGCATTTTTAACCCTTTGCGGCACAGTGTGTCCGGTCTGGACACACCTAAAAATTTCCTTCTGTATGCACAGAAAATTTGAATGAAAAAGGATTTATAGGTCACTATAGGTTACTCTGAACCTTCTTTATAGTAGATGGCAGCTCAACACAAACCAATCCATATATTTTAGCCATGTTTAGTTTTTTAAGGCCCTCATTTTTCAAAGAAATCTTCCACATTTTTTAGGGTATAAAAGGAATTGTTTGAAAAGAAATATCTATGTTACTTTTTTTTGGCTGTATGCTAATCTCCTTATTCTATATTAGTTTTAAATTTTTACCTTGAAATCTTGCCTAAAATCAAATGGCGAACCCTAGGTGTCCCCAGACTGGGCTCACCGATAATCTAGGACAACTGAGAGTCTGTATTCTTTGTTTCTCCGCATCTCATCGGTCAGTTTGTTGACAACAATGCTCGTTTCAGCACTCTTTTTGAAGCTCTATTCAATCAGTGTGCCACTTTGGGCACACCCACAGAATTAAAACGATAAGTGCTATCTTCACGAAATTTTACTTGTGTATTCCTTTAGGCCTGATTTGACTGCCTACCTTTTTTTTTTTTTTTTTTTTTTTTTTTTTAATCAAAACTCCGACTTTAAAAGGTAGCGTGCTGGAAAGGGTTAAGCCAATACAGGGAAATGGTATGCTAATTTAGCCCATTCCTGAAGAATGATCAGTATTGTTACAATTTTGAAATATATTTTCAGACAGATGAAGTAACAGGTAGTAAGCAAGTTGGCAGAAACGAAACTAAAGAAACAATCTGACATGTTTAAGATGAAAGTGTTCTAAAGAATAATTTTTATTTTGTTTTGATTGGTTGAGTTTCAGTTTGCAAAATTATCTGTGTTATTAGCACTTTGTAAGAATCATATGTCATGGATTAATTTTGAAATAATGCAATTTAGAGAGATTTATTGCAAAAAGTTATTATTTTTAGTACAGAAAGAGGAAATAACCATAGGGGGAAACATAAATTAAAATTATAATTTTGCTTTATCCATGTGTTTTGAAAGCATGTAGGGAAAATTCTGGTACAACTGAGATTTGATTTTATATGAATTTTAATGTCTTAATTGAAAATTTAATTGAATCTTTTTTCAGTTTTTGATCTCAAATGAACCAGGAGAATGAAATTTTTGAAACATATTAAATGACTTGAAAATTTTTGAAACATATTAAATTACTGGGAAATAGAAATGATGATATCTTATCAGATATTTTATTTTGTTAATATCATTGTGTATTATTATTGGAATGTAGGTTTCTTTTAAAGAAATAATATTGTGATAGTTACTTGTAGTTTATCCGTGGTTACTTTTCCTTTAATATGTTCTTACTGTAATCATGTCCTTTAGAAATTAAATTATCTGTATAATTTTCTTAATTTTCAGGTAATAAAATTAGTAAAAAGAAAAAGGGGAGTAAATATATGTAAGGAAATACTATTATATATATCTGTGATGATTTAAAAGTTGATGTTGCGGTGGAGTGAAAAACATGGCAGAGCTTGCTGCATGAAAAATATGAACAGTTGTAGTCAGTGATTTCACACATTTTATTCTTAAGAAGCACATTCTAAATATAAATTGCACATCGTAATAGGTTCTATCTGCACACCTGTCATATATGTAAGGAAATACTATTATATATATCTGTGATGATTTAAAAGTTGATGTTGCGGTGGAGTGAAGAACATGGCAGAGCTTGCTGCATGAAAAATATGAACAGTTGTAGTCAGTGATTTCACACATTTTATTCTTAAGAAGCACATTCTAAATATAAATTGCACATCATAATAGGTTCTATCTGCACACCTGTCATGATTGAATTTTGTCTATTCTACATATTATGACAATACAATGAAGGCGATTGCATATGAAGAAGAGAGCTATGCAGCGACACATTCACAGAACAGCAAGCAAGAGCAAGAATGTGATATGTTCAAAATGAAAGCTTCAGAGAGAAATTATTTAAGTTTCATTTCACAAGTTTCTCATTGTTTCTACTGGCAATTAAAAAAAAGGGTTATAGTACCTGTTGGAATCTTATTTGTCGAATCATTTATATAAGTGCCTGAACATTTAGCATCATGTAAGAATTATGCGGCATGGATTAAATTTGAAATGACACAGTTTTTAGAGACTTGTTGTAAGCATTTAGTGTTTTTAGGACAGAAAGGAGTGATAGAAAAAGTTTTGTTGCAAATAATTTTTCTTTATATATTTTTTTGTCTTACATACACACACACACACACACACACATATATATATATATGCATATAAGTATGTATGCATTCAGTTAAAATATATACAGTACAAAGTCTGTAATATGGACATCTATAATCGGGAATGATCTATAATCTGGACCTCAAAGCTACAAACTTTCTGCGCATGTGTAGCGTTTACGCATGCACATAATACCTTTACACATGCCCATAATATGTTTACGCATGCACATTTAATGTATAACGGATGGTATAAGCTAGGCTAAAATTATCGAATTATCTATTTCAGTTAATGTTGCAGATTGCGTTGTTTCTTAATCTTCTAATTGAATATGGCTTATTATTTTTTGCAGACTGTTAGAGCAATTTTATAAAACGTAAGCTTGAACTTTCGATTAAGTCAACAAGAATTTCGGATTCTAGAGCTGTCAAAGCAAAAGTTTCGATGTCCATCAAACAAAAAGTGGAATTGCTTCAAAAAATGGATAAAGGCATGAAGAAAGTGACAGAAAGGTTAGTGAAAACGAAAAAATTTTGATTGACAAGTTAGTCGGTATTCTCGGTACAGCAATTACAGGACTTGAACAGCGAAACTTTGTAACTGAACAAAAAAATTATGTCTGTTTATAGAATTAAAGAGAAAGTATATTAGCACATAAAACGAAGCAACTTAAACAGCTTACATTGAAAGTAATGTATAATAAAGTAAACAAATAAATATTAAGCTTTTTTTTTGTAAATTTTGATACCCTTTAGATCATAATTGCTCTTTATTTCATAAATTATGGTTTCATATTTTTAATTTTATAATTTCTAGATGTCATCTTACCAGATTTAAATAGATGATCTATAATCCGGAAAAACCCCTAATCCGGAATCGCCGAAATCCCGACGAGTCCGGATTAAAGACTTTGTACTGTACCAGCTTTACAGTTTTAAATATTCGTATGGAAGATTTATAATGTGTATTTCCTGAATGAATGCTATGTAAGCACTTAAAATTATTTAAGGACCATTTGCATTTAGTACCTTCTATTTAACTGTACTCGTTCTAAAACAACTTTTATATAAAAGTGTGCGTTAATTTGTTTTCTAGGTATCGAGGAGAAAAATTGAATCATCATCCCACACGTGAACACAGGAAAAGAAAACGTAGACATTCTGATGATGATAATCCTTTTTTCATATCAACTATATATGATAATCCTAAAGAATCAGATCCTCCAGAAACAGTTCTAATATCCTCTGCTTTCTCAAGATTGAAATATCGGAAAGAATTTCTTAAGGAACATGGCTGTGACACCTGATATTGTTTCTGAATATCAAGTTTTTTTTTATCAAATAGTACTTTGTTCTGAACAAAAGCACTGAAACTTGTTGGATGAACTTAACAACAAATAAAGATGCTGAGTAGCAAAAAATATTATTTTTTGCTCTTAAGAAAAATTAATGTATATGTGATAAACATTTTTAATGAAATAATGTATAAAAGTGAATTTCCTTATATGAAAAATTTATAAAAGATTTGAAAGAAAAATTGTAAATAAATTCAAGATTAATAAGTGAGCTGTAACATTGAAATATTTCAAAATGCATTACATGTAGTAGAGCTGAATCATATTAATGAAAATTAAATAAAAATACCAACACTGTAATATAAGAAATGAAACTACATTATAATATTAGTAATTTTTTTAAAGGTTTATAATTCACTTTGTATTTTAAATGATATTATACTGCTTTTAAATGTCTGAATTGAGAGTATACTATGTATACCTCTTTAAGGAAGAGATACTTTAATAGATTTGTTTCTGAGGAAGAAGAACCTGTGTTATGTTGTACATGAGGAAAGGCATGAAAACTCCATGCAGACTCTTCACCTGTCAGGAATAAAACGGAATCATAAGTGTTTCTTGGTTTATTTATTCAGCCAATAGTTTTAACCCTTTGGTTGCCAGTTTCTTGAACTTTGTGGGATGTCTGTCCTGATAATTTTTTAATGTACGACTTCATTTTTATACTGTTGGTTTCAGATAATACAATTATAAATACTAAATCTGAATAATCTGAAATACAGGATGATTTTTGTATATTTTCTCCATATGCATTTATGACTCATCTCATGTTTATCAACAATTTTTAAATAATACAAGAATTTTATTTGCTTTTTGTAATTTCATATTATATATAATATGTGCGTGAATTTCAAAAGACATGATTTGCAAGTTAAAAATTGCGCAACTGCACATGCAATTTTTATTTTTTGGTGAATTTAATTTTTAACCAATTTGTTGCAAAAATGTTTTCAGAAATTTTGCAAAACTTAATTTATAAAATTTGTGAAAAAGAAAAATCAGTCTTGCTTTATATTAAATTACATACATACCAAACAGAAAAATATTTAAAATGACAAAAAGTTTTAATTATTTATAAATGTTATAAATTGTTTATACTGACCTTAGAAATAAAGCTAGCACTCATTATTTTTACTTGCTTATTATTATTACACAAAGATTTTTGCATGTGATAAACTTTGAAGCATGCCTCCAGATAAAATCTAGCTAGACATCCTTCACACCAAATGTGAGTCTCTTCATGTATTCTATCTTTCTACAGTGGAAGCTTACGTAATAACAGTAATTAGTTCCCATATCTTACTTTTAATGTGAAACACTCAAGTGAAAGAATTTTTTCCATTGGAATCAATATAAAAAGGATAATGCATTTCATTCCAAAAAGCAGTAATTCAGACAAATTTATAATGCATTTTTTTTTTTTTTTTTTAAACAAAAGAGTTGTTTAAAGACATTTGTTTTAGATCAATCAACTTTTCTCACTTCTCAGTCATTTGGTGTTTGACTTCTATGGTGATTTTTCTTCTCTGACTTCTTGCAGCATTTTCTTGAGGACAAACACATAAGCATGCTGGAACTTTGCAGTAAAAAATATATGCAATAATGTGTCTGAATACAACTTTAATAAGCGACAATAAGATGCTAGTTGAACAAGTGCTAAACGATGACTTGGAGTCGAGATGAAGGCAGGATTCTGCAGGTGTCTTCATGTCATTTCCTTCTACAAAACATCATACATTAAGGGAGGTCGTTTTGTACATTTTGTTTTCCTCATTATGGAAGGTGCTAGTTAAACAAGGTCTGACTGTATTTTTAACTTCTTTGGATCAACTCACAGCACCCTGTCTTCCAGATTCCTTTGTTGTAGGATTTAGCCATATATGGCTTGTGAAATGCCTTTCTACAAGGGCAGCATCACTGAATGTTTTGATGACCAAATTTGAAGCTTTCATCCAAATTCTGTACAATGAAACGGATCCTGTAGAGCCATCTAGCTTCAAAAAATAAACACTAAGACAGTTTTACCCTGCACAGAGAAAAAGCTGGATTTCTATTGAAATCAAAGAGAAAAATCTCCCACAATTTGTACGTGAACCATGGTAGTGGACTTGATAACCCTACTTAAATCACAGACGGTTAAATGGCCTTGAGAATTAAAAGTTAATATAATATTAAAATGAAACAAAGAATTTTGAAATTAAAATAGAATTTTTTGTAGTAATAATAATTGCAAGTCTTAAAAAATACATTTAGTGGCTGAGAAATATTTATGTAACAAAATGCTACCTAAATGTCAGTTTCTGTCACCAAAAAGAAACTGATTATGACTGCATATTTAAGCAGACGAGTAAAATTCTAGCAACTGCTTACCACTGAATCGTTTTAGAACTATCATTATTTTTATCAAAATCATTGGTAATTTGTTGAATTTAGCCAATTTCAAAATTAATAAAAAGACATTTATATATCAGAATATATGATTTCATTTTAAAATGAACACATGCTGAAATTGTATTCAAGAGTGTGTGCTGACTTGTTAAAGTCAAGGAATAACAATTGTTCTTGTGTGTATTGCTTCCATTGGCTGCATTGATAGCTCCATGAATGGGATATTTGTAATTTTATGCATGTAATATATGGTTCAGTTGCTTTCAGTTTGTCTTCTATTAAGATGGAAAATTAATTCACAAAATGATTCAAAGAATCGATTCACTTTCCTAAATGAACTAATGATCACTTACCAAAAGAGTGGTAGCTCAATTAAAATTAGAGCTCTTGTTGGAAGTATTCCAAAAAGGTTCAATTTGCATTTTAGGGAGAATGATACCTGTTCCCTTCTCCATCCATGCTAAAAGTTAGTTTAATTTTTATCATTTCCCAACTTGCTGAATTTTTAGTCCAGATTTTTGTTAGTTCTATGTAGAAAGGAGGTTTTAGGGAATCTCAAAACTACAGTGGAAAGAAGTCAGTCAAGAGTGTTAGCAGTTCGATTGAATCGATTCTCCTGATCTCACCATTTGTTTGATTCCTTCAACTCTTAATTCAATTGTTTCACATCACTCAATTTACTCACCATTCTGGATCTTATCAGTTAAGGTTATTGTTTGTGAGTGAATGAGTCGTAAAAAAGAATGAATTCAATTCATTGAGCAAATGTTTCTGATCTGATCCCATAAAAGAACAGTTTTCCCCACTTTTAGTCCTTAGTGAAATCTAAGAATTATTTATATCATATGCTGTACACAGATTCCCTTACAAGTACTAACATACCACACATAAATAAGCAAGACAAGGGAGGGGGGTGGAGATTGAAAAAATGTGAAGTTTGATTTTATGATATGATGGATGGTTTTTAAAGTCATTTAATTCTCTTTGTATATACTGTTTTATAAATTTTAGAAGTTAAATTTTTTTTAATTTTATAAATCTTAATTTGCATAAAAACTGATTTTTGCATATAATAACTGTTTAATCTAACTGTGCGAGTTGTTACAGTGCTTACTAAACAACATTTAACTATAAAACGAAGCAAGTGTGATATTCTTTTGACCAGACCACGAAACAAAAGATGAACACACTTCTATGAGTGTCACGTGATGTTTTCTCTTCAATAATTCTATTGGCTAAACACACACTTCACTCGTGTCCTTATTTGGATAACTTTTGGTGGCGACGTGCGTTTTATTGTGTCATTTATGTCGGTAGCGTAGTCGTATGGACGCACCTTAAGAGATTTTAAATATTTCATTATACTGCCATATTAAGAGCTTTTGGCTGAATATTCTCATCTATTGCATTTCAGTTTTCTTCTACAATTTGCATGGAAATTGGCCAATTCTTTACATAGCTTTCAAGAAGATCACATACTGAGTTTCCACATACTTCAGGTGATTATATATTAAACCATTAATTAAATTTGCCTGAGAAAAATCTAGTTATTAAAAAAATATTTCGACTTGAACAACATGCTCAGTAACATTTGATGTATTTAAATCTTGACCAATAAAGTTAAGTACATATACCGAACCAACCGTAAGATATCATTTGCTGCATTATTTAGATTATTGTAAAGCACACCAGAGCTTTTGTCTAAGGGAAGATCTATCTTTGTAGAAAAGTTTTTGAAGCAAACTGGCTCACATTCATGACATGCAAGAAAAATATATAACTAGTCCATTTGCTCAAATTTGTGCCTCGTTTGGACTATTGAGTTGTTGAATGGTTTTACTACTTGGCCACTTAGTAAGCCTTCATATCAGTTAATTCACAGAATAGTGTAGCCCAGTTACTTTAATAAATCTAAATTCTTCTTATAATCCCACTAACATGAAAATAACCTAATCTAATATGCTATTTGTACTTGTTAAATGACACATCTAATAAGAGGCAAATTTTCATATGTTCTCTTCATTTATATGAAATGTGATATTGATGATTTTTGCTTTCATTTGTGTAATAATACTGCACTGAAGCTTTGTTAAAAATATCTATAAATCACTTTCGTTTCGCAAAAATCTGTTGAGAACACAGTTTTCTCATTAAATCATTTTTTTTCTACTGGTCAAACCTTTCTCTGCATATGAAATTTTTCCACATTTATTGGTCCCAATATCATGAAATTCATAACTACATCACTCCTATAGGGAACAAAGATTTTATGAAGATTTTTAAGTGAGGAATTTTACAAATTTTCTTATATCTGGTTGCAGTAGGATGTAATTTCTAAAATAAGTTGTGATGGAGCTTTGTGAAGCGCTGTCGAGGGAGGAGGGGAAAATAAATAAAATAACTAATAATTAAAATAATAAAATTTAATTTAAACCAAATGTAAAGAGATAAATAAAAAATTAATATATTATTACATTAATAATAAAATATTGGCCTTTGTCTCATTTGGGGCTCTACCTGGAATTAACATTTCACTCAAAAACTAAGGAAGTAACTCAGGTGACCTCCAGCTAAATTTAAGCCCCTACCATATGGTAATTTCAAAGGCTGATAAAAACTATTCTATTTTCAACACACCAATTTAAAAAGGTAAGATCATTAAAGTGCCACTAATGAGAACAGAGAAAATGCTAGATACAGTCTAAGAATATGGAAGGAGTGTAGAGAAGTGTCGCTCTGAAAACAATACTTTCTGATATATTCTGCGGATCTAATTCTTGTTGTCAAGCAGAATACAATAGGAGGAAGAAGAATTTTTCCCCAGTTCGATTTGCTAGCATGAGAACAACTGAAGGCTATGTATAAGTGACAACTTCTGTTCCTCATATTTGATTACATCATTCAAAAAGTCTACAGGAGCTCTGTCGTGGGATGGGAAGTCACTAGTATTGGACATGCACAACCAGTATGATTAAATGAAAAAATTATCACTATACTTCCTGGAAAATAAGTCATTGACATGTGGGTGGAGGATTCTTTCCTTAAAAGTCTGAACCTCCATCAAAAAGGGTTTTTTCCTCAAGAAAGATGCATTCAGAAGTTATAATCGATTTGTAATGCATATTTATTATTTAAATAAAATTTGGCTATGAAATTGTAGTTCAGTTTCATAAAGCAAGCACAGGAGTCATTTTATTAGGACTCTAGGGTGCTTCTGTTAGAATTAAGATTTATATCAAAAACTGGAAAGTAACGGAGCAGTTTAAGCTCTGAACTGTACCATAACGAGAAATTGTGTACCCGTATGTATTCGTTACTTGGTGAACCAGTACTCGTTATTATCGTATCGTTACTTTCGGTTAAATCGATTGGTATTCGTATCCTGAGCCTATTTTATTGGTATACGGCCCTATGGCGATAGGAAGTTTTGCGTCGTATTTTTGGATACAAATAATCACCCCTTTTGTGTGTCTCGAAGTCAGAAGCCTTACGGAAGGCCATCAGAAAATAGGAAAAAAAATAATGAAATAAAATAAATATACCATAATAACATTAATTAGTAATTAAAATAAAAAATTCTTATTAAAAGCTTAATAATTAAAATAATAAAAAATAGTGATTAAAAATATAATTAAAAAGTAACCTAATAATTAGCAACTAAATAAAAAACTTATAAGTAAAATTTAACAAAATGTAAAGACAATAAAAATTAAAATAATTCTTAAATTTATGATGAATAGTAAATTATAAAGTAAAATACCAGACCTTGTCTTATGGCTTAGTACCTTTTCGTCCTTTCTCCTTTCATCCCAGCTCCAAAAAGTGTCTTTCGTTTCGCTGCCTTCCCCTCCAATTCCCTTTCCCGTTTATCCGCTATTTGAAAAATAGGTGTTTACTTTACGATAAGACGAACGTCTGTTACTTCAACTAAAATGATTTAGAAGAGATGACTGTTTTCTACTTCGACTACTACTTTTGATTTCTAATACTATTTATTATTTATGCAGAGAATTATGCTGAGCAGAAGAATGAATTTCAGACGTTGTTCAGAAGGTGTTGTGTATCTGAATATATATCGTGTCTTAAAAAGGTGATGTTCACTACCAGTGTTTGTTTATGTTCTCAAAAATACAGATTTTTAGAAAGGACTCTTAGAGATGTCGTAATAGATGATTTGCTATAATTATTTTCTAATAGATAACACGGAATTAATGTAATTTAATGTCAATAACTCGAAGAAGCAAGTTTAAATATATGGTGCAACAAAAATACAGAAGTATTTTAAATGACGAAAATATTCCTATTTTGTCCAATGATTAAATTTTAAAAATAATTAATTTTGGACACAATTAGTGAAATATAACTTTTAATGCCGTCTGTCTGTTACTATACTTATATTTATGCAAGGTTTTATACTTATTATGAAAAAATAAAAATACAAGAAGTTTGAGTCCCGTAGACAGAGATTGACCGGGAAATTTAATTTCAAAATTTGCAGTGTTTGATGCCATTTGTAACTTGTCTTCAGGTATCGCTTAATTAAGTAAGAATAATTCGAGGAAATAAATTTAAATGAAGTGCAGGTAAAATAAGCATAATTTAAAAAGTTATGCGGTATCCACATCAAATTTCACTTTTCATAATGACAATAAAACTTTCCCAAATACAAATAAAAAAACTGGGTTGGTGTTGGTGTATTTAACTATGGCAAATGAGTATTTAACTATGGCGTATCTGCCTAAAGGGAGGGATGCCTTCGTGGAGGACTTTCTAAGGGAATTGGCTCGTATACACGTTACACATGGCGAAAACCACGAAAACACCCATGCAGCCAGCCCGTTCGCGGGATTCGAACCTCAGACTGAACTACCAGTGTTCAACGACATTACCACTCAGTCGCTGGTGGGCTAAAGAAATGGGAGAACCGCATTAAAGATTAGATTTCGTTATTTGTCCGTTATTCGTTATTTCGTTTGCTGCTGCCTCCCATTCCTTTCATCAGAACCGCTAATGATGAAAGGGTGAATTTCTAGTAAAGCATGTATATTAATGTTCATTATACATTTGTCACATTTTTGCTTTCTTTCAAAACAGCGATACTGTGGTTCTATTGCTTTAGAAATTGCGAATAAAAAATGGGCCCTATGTTATAAAAACCTAATTATATTCAGATACAACACCTTTTGCACATGTTTGAAATCCATTATTCTAATCAGAATACTTTGTCTACAGAAAATATTGAATCAAATATTAGAAATCAAAAGCTAAGTGAGAATGAAGTAGGTAAGAGTCATATCGTCTAACCTGTTTTAATTGAAGTAAACAGGTGCTTGCTTTATCGTAAAGTGAACACCTGTTTTTCAAACAGCGAATGAAATGAAAAAGAGCCCACCAGCGCTCGAGCGGTAAAGTCGCTGAAGACTAATAGTTCGGTCCGGGGTTCAATTCCCGGCTAACGGCTGGCTGCACGGGCGTTTTCGTGGTTTTCCCCATGTGTAACTTGCATATGAGCCAGTTTCCTTTAAAAAGTCCTCCACGAAGGCATCCCTTCCCTTAGGCAATAGCCCTAGTGTGCTTTGCCGTAACCGAATAAACCGAAACCGAAAAAAAGGGGAATTGGTGGGGGAAGGCAGCGACGAAACATCGTTTTAGAAGAATAGGCTACATAACCAAATTTCTATCTATACTCTGGTAAACAGTACATTATTTGCTCATCAAGGGCCTAAATTTAGCTAATGCTTGGCTTGGTTCTTAAATTGCAATTTCAGCCATAGCCCCCAAAACAGACGCTGTCTGGTATTTTATTTCATCATTACTTAGTTGTTCATCATTAATTTAAGAATTAATTAAATTTTCATTTAATCGTCAAAAATGGATATTTCCGTTGAAATATGATACCCAAAAATTTTTCTCGATTGCAATACTTACTTCCTTTTTATTTCGTACAAGGAAGTAAAGAACTTATATTAACTTACATATTCTTATTTAAACAATACCTAAGTTCAGTATATAAATATTTCAAATCAATAAAATCTCCCTATGGCACGTTCAAGAAAAAAATCAATAATCATCTAAATTTTAAAATTACAGACATATGCGCTATAAATCTAAATGTAAAAAGCAAATACAAAATAATGCTTCACGCTATCAAAATTGATCATTTTCTTAAATATCAACAACTAAAAATATTTCAACTAAAACACATAATGTAAACAAGAGTTTGCCCAATGAGTTAACCAAAAAAATTCAAAATTATCAATGAAAAATGTGGCACACGGGTATTGTTAGCAAATGTATCATTCATATTCGAACAGCAACCGCATCATTCATACTCGAAATATAAACCGCATCGTGTGACAGATGTGAGTAACGAAATGAATTTGTGAGTACCGAATCGGTACTTCGAATCAACCAATGTACCCGTTACTCAGTAACGAATACATGCGGTTTGCTCCAGCTCTTCTTAATATATCAAACTAAGTTTCATAATAAATAAAATAAAATATAACTCATTATTATACAATGATTCTTATCGCAGATGCAGGCAGTGACGTGAATTCTAACTTTTGTTAGTAGATACCTCATTATGAATGTGGCTTTAAAAATGTTTTATGAAACTTTATCAATTTTGCATTCCTCAATTAACATTTAAAAATTGGCTTAGGGTACCTATTTTCATTTATGTGCCAAAAACCTTGTTAATTAGTGTTATTAACTCCCTAAATGGTTCGCTAAAGTCACACAATTAAAGTCATATCATATGAATATACACTGTTTTACAAAAAAATCGAAGCACCAAGAAGGACTTTTGCAAATGAACAAGATAGGAAAAAATGATTAGATAAGATAAGAAAGCCTGGACAAGAATAAGCAAGTGGCGCCATCTGTTGGTGAAACCAGAACTAAACAATAATTTCTTTAAAGGCTGAAGGCAATTTGGATTGGAATTAGGATCGTTAAGTAGAACAGAAAGATATTATTATGAATGTGAAAATACCTCTAGAAAATCCAGTTCTCCAATGGAAGATGTTTTTGAATATTTTGGCAGCAGAAAAATTGAAAGTGTGATTTTCGGACCAACAATGTTGCCAACAGAAGACTTCTGTGTTTCTTTTTTCTAACATATGCCGTTCCTTGACGCGAAATTTTAAGGCTCTCTTAGTTTGGCCAATGTAAAATTAAACCACACTAGCAAGGAATCCTATAAATACCCCAGGAATTCATATCCAGAATGGGATCCTTAAGTATGGAACTCGGAATTTATTGTGGGAGAATAAACAACAACCCGAAAGTTAATTTCTGCAATATGTGCAACTTTATAGCTAATTGATGGAAAGAAGGGAATGACAACAGAATTTTTATAATCTCCTAAAATAAGAGTGTGGCTTTTAGTGTGTTGAGATGAGAATTTTTTAACTGCTTGATTAATAATGTTGGGTGAAAAGCCCCTGTCAATAGCTATTGCTTTTAAATAATTTAGTTCTTCATCAAGGGCTAGTTTGGAGGACTAGCCCTTGATGAAGTAACTAGCCCATTTTACCTTTCCATACTTAAGGATCTCATTCCAGATATGAATTCCTGGGGTATTTATAGGATTCCTTGCCAGTGTGGTTTAATTTACATTGGCCAAACTAGAGAGCCTTAAAATTTTTCACGTCAAGAACATGAGGCATATGTTAGAAAAAAGGAAACCAGAAGTCTTTCTGTTGCGCAACATTGTTGGTCCAAAAATCAACACTTTTCAATTTTTCTGCTGCCAAAATTATTCAAAAACATCTTCTATTGGAGACTGGATTTTTTAGAGGTATTTCACATTCATAAAAATCTATCTGTTTCTAGTTAACGATCCTAATTCCAATCCAAATTTGCCTTTGGCCTTTAAAGAAATTATGTTTTGTTTCTGGTTCATCACCAACAGATGGTGCTACTTGCTTATTCTTGTCCAGGCTTTCTTATCTTATCTAATCATTTTTTCCTATCTTGTTCATTTGCGGTTTTGCAGCTGAGGATGGTGGTTCGGTAAACCCATCGAAACTAGTCCTGTGGAAATTTTGTAAATATAATGCTGATTTTTGTTGTTTGTCTTCTGAATTAGCAAACATACCATATTACTGGCCACTCAGTTGAGGAATCATAGTAAAACTACACACATAATATGCTGATACCTAACCAATTCATAAAATTTTTAATGTTAGCACATGCATACATAGCTTTTGATTACTATAGGAAGGAGGGGGGGGTGAACTACAGACACACGAAGAGGAAGAAAGAGGAATAGTCATCACATATGCTTAACATTTTATTTTGCGTTACTTTGTTCATCCGTGAGTTAACAAATATATATTTTAAAATCATTTACACATTCTCTACATTTTACATTTTTGTATGAAATGAAATTCTTCTTACAGATGACATACACAACATCAGTTTTCACAAAATGGAATAGGACATTTTCACACAATTATTGACTTGTGGTTTCAAAAGGAACATACTCAGAGACTAGTCAGTGGTTTTGTTTGCTGTAAAATGGTTAACTAGTTTTGTGAGGATTTTGATCAAGACATTTAATAAAAAGATGAAATTAACAAACAGTTATATTTATACTCTACACAGAACAGCAATTAACAAAAATGATTTTTATTGAATGGTCACATTCTAGGTGCAAGCATCTGTGATGCATATAATAGCTTTATTAACTACACACATTTTTACTGATTAAATATATTTAACATATAGCAAGTATAATATTTTATGGAAATGATCTTCTGTTCCTATTCTGTAAAACTTGTTTGCATATATATAAAAATACACTTGCCATTAAATTTCAAAATATACAAATATTCCAATAAACTCTGCAAAATGCTAACATACAAAATGATGACTAGTTTAAAAAAAAAAAAAAAAAAAAAAAAAAAATCATAGAATAATGTTCAATTTTGAGCTGTTAATAAAATTATTTAAATTTTTTAGCTCTTATATTTCTCATTACTTAATTAGACCTTTGAGAAAATGGTTGAAAATTTTTTATTCACAAAAAACTGCATTTCATTTACATTCAGTACAGATAGACAAAAATATGCTACAAAGTGTTTTGTATAAAAGTAGCAAGTGAATTACACAGCAGCAGATGATTATAAGTGATATATTTTCACTCTTAATAAATCAGCATTTGGTCTGGGAAATATTTATATTAACATTAAAATGACAAGCACATATTTACACACTTTATACATTTGTTATGTACATATATTAGGCAAAGTTGCTACTGCTTTGAGGATCAACGCAACTAGGTGATAATGGTTAAAAGAACCACATATACAAGAAATGTGTATGAAATTTTTGTTAGCAATATTTAGTGTTACAAAACAAACATAAATATATATAAAAACATATTTTAAATTATCTTTGGCAGAATAAATGAATGCTGTTTTTTAATTAATAAACAATCCATTTTCTTTTTATAGCATAAATATAAAAGATTCCATCTGTAATTTAAGAAATTTCAGACAGCAAATGGTGATTAAAGAAGTTAGCAGTATGGATAAATAATAGTGATAATTGTGGAATTTTTCTCTTCCTTAAACAAAAAAACAAAACAAAACAAACAAACAAAAAATATTCTATGCATGTGAATTGCTATTGCCGTGAGGTTTCAGATCCTCTGGAGACATCACTAGTCTTATCTATGGCAGAGCGTAAGTCCTGACTCTGTCCAGAAAGTGGAAAAGATGTAGTTCTCTTAGCAGAGCGTCGCTGCCGTATTGTGGATCCAGTTTGTCCAGGTAAGCCAAAACAGCCACGAAACAAAATCATACGTGCATTACCTTGAGCTGGCCTTGAAGCTCCTGGTGCTTTCAAATCAGAAAGATGAGCTGCATATCCATCTGTCAGTATCTAGGTGAGATAATACCATTAATGTTTTCTCCTTAAAAACAAATCTGATGTTAACTAAACATTAAGGAACTTTCATAATGAAAGTTTTTTTATCTGAATGTGTTTGTGTGGCGAAAAATTTATCTTCCTGAGTTATACAGAATAAGTAAGACAATTTTGTTATGGTAAAGTACTCGATGGCCATCTAGTGAAAATGAAAGCTTTTGTAGATGATTAGCACATATTCATTTTATAAGGAAAGAAACACTTCATGCAACCAATTCACACTATTCTTGAAATAAAAACCAGGATGAATCACCAATGTGATTATTGGATGGGCTAAATGCAAACTATAATAATTATACTCTGTTGCAAAAAAAAGTATATGCATCCAGAAAGAATTGAGCCACAAGCATGAAACTTGGCAATAGTATACTGTTCAAATAGAAAAACATATGGTTAAAAACATATGCAAGAAAATCATTTCATTTATGATTGGTTGGTTGATTTTTTAATGGCACAAAACCTCGAGGGTTATTATGAGCCAGACAAATGGTGAATAAAATTCAAGATGCACAAACACACTGTATCAAGTGAATTGATGAAATGAATATGAAATGCTGATGAAGGCATGGGGAAATGACTTTGACATGCTCTAGCAACAGGTAGAGCAGGATAAAAGGAAAATAACTTCAAATCATATGGTAAAAAGGGATGCCTTTTAAAAAACTGATGAGGTTGATGTGAGGGTTTCTTTCAATGAGATCTGTTAAGTTAACATTCGTTAGAGTTAAAATAAAGTTCACGTTTCTGACTAAAAGCAGGATAGCAGGTTAAAATGCGATTGACTGAAATGGGAACATTGCAAGTGCCACAAATAGGTTCATTATCTCCTTTCAAGAGATACTGGTGTGTCAGTCTGCAATGACTAATTCGTAGGCGAGTCAGTAGTACATCCTCCTTTCGATTCCCTCTCAACTCCAAATTGGGTTTTACCTGCCTTAATTTGTTCAGAGTTTGGCATTCCCAGAGTTCTTGCCACCTGAACAAGATTTTTGTTCTGATGTAATTCCGTATGTCTGTACAAGGGACATCATTTTCTGAGGTAATATCAGCAGATTTTGCTGTGATTCGGCGAGTTCATTGCCTTTGATGCTAGCATGTCCAGGCACCCAGCAGTATGTAATATAATAACCTGCGTTTCTCAAACGAAGGTGTGCCTTTAAAATTTCTAAGACCAAAGGGTGGCTGGTATTTGTATTTATTGATTCAAGAGTACTCCGAGAAACAGAGTAGATTATGAACTTTCTGCTACTCTGCCTAGAGATAAAGATTAAGGAATTCAAAATGGCAAAAGTTTCCACAGTAAAGACAGATGCACAACTCTTTATCTCTTTATCACAAACAAAAGCTGCCCCGACATGATCATGATTCTTTGAGCCATCAGTAAAAATTGCTTTGTAGTTAGAATAACTGCTTCTATGCTCTAGGAAAATTTGTTTATATTGGACATCATTGGTACTGTTCTTCTTTAGTTCTCCAAAAATGCTAAGTAGGTGAATATTCACTTCTTGCCAGGGAGCAATACCGAAAAGGTCAAAGTTTTTGGGATGCAGATCATTTAGGTTGAATTCTTCAATCAGTGAGTGAATGCAAAGATCAAAAGGTGGGTACATGGACGGGCTTGGTAAAGACGCTAGTACTAATCAGGTGTCATGAGTCAGACGGGATGTTCGGCCTGTGACATTACTTTATAATGAAGGTCAATGGACAATTGCTTGTGTCTAAATTCCAAAGATAGTTCAAAACAGATGACATATAAACTTTGAACTGGAGATGTTCTGAAGGCTCGCAGCAAATCCGTAGTGCTTGATGGTGGACTGGATCCAATTTCAGTAGTACAGAAGGTCTTGCTAATCCATAGATAACACAGCCATAGTCAAGCTCTATAAATGCGGAGCATAGAACAACATTCTGCTACCCATGAAGTATTGGCCAGGACTTTCAGTATGTTGAGAGCTTTAGCACATTTTTTCTTTAGATTTAAGATATACGGAAGGAAAGTGGGCTTTCTTTCATATACATATTTCTAAGAATTTTGCTTCTGGCTCAACGCAGATCGAAGAGCCGTCAAAATGCAGCTCCTTATCAGGATGTAGATTTCTTTTGTGACAGAAGTGCATGCAGACTGTCTTCTGGCTAGAAAATTTAAAACCATTGTTGTTGGACCACTTTATGATTCTATTCAGAGCAGTTTGTAGTTGTCTCTCAATGTATCTCATATCTTGACCTTGTCAATAGATCATCAGATCATCAACATACAAGGAACCATGCACTGTGGGAGGAAGTTCTCTTAAAATGGAATTAATTTTCAGGCTGAAGAGAGTAACACTGAATACTGAACCTTGTGGTACACCTTCTTGTTGTACAAATACTTTGGAAAGCAAGGAACCAATCTTGACTTCGAAAGTGCGGTCCTTCAGAAAGTTTTGAATGAAGATGGGTAAATTACCTCGTAATCCAGTGCTGTAACGGTCATGAAGAGTTCCATGCCGCCAAGTTCTATCGCACCTTTTCCATGTCAAAGAAGATTGAAACCACATGATTTCTTTTCACAAATGCATTGCATACTGCGGTTTCTAAACACAGGGCATTATCAAGTGAAGATCTTCCCTTATGGAAACCGTGCTCTGGCTATTAAAATATACTGTACTTTATTATTTACTGTGGCTAAGTTAATGATAAACTATCTTATTTATTAAACTTGCAATTTCTAAATATTGAATCACAATACCATTTTGACTGAGAATTTTACATATGAAATTATTCAAAAAGTTTACTACATATTACCTTATAAAATTCAAATATGATTTTAAAAAATTAATTTTTTCTTAATTAGTACCTTTGCCGCTGTATGTTGCTTTTTTGAAGCTTTTCCAACAACATAAATTTGATCTGCACGCAAGCCAACACTGGAATATACAGAAATATCCTTACTTGAGCCATATCCACAATGAATTATTACTTCAGCCTGTAAAAGCAATTTGGAGGTATCATAAAAATTAATAATAGCAGTTACAGATATAACAGTCTACTAATTGTTTTCACATACAGAACAAACATTTTGCATATAAACATATAAAATACTTTGAACCTTTACTATAAAATACTTTGAAGTTTTCTATATCAAGAAATGACTAAAATTTTCATTAATTCCCAATAGTAAAATCATTAAATAATTTCTCATCCTCTAAGTTAAAAAAGGGAAGAATGGATGAAAGTTGTCATAAGGTGTTCTCATAGATTAAAAATTACTACTCTAAATGAATTTAACATTTACTTTAAAAAAACAGAAATGTATTTATGTGAGCTACACTTCTGATAGATACTGTATTTGTCATGCCTATTATATTATTGCAATTTTGCATAATGTTGAAACATAAAGAACTGTTGAAAATTATGACTCACCAAAGAAATTAATTCACTGTAGAGATAACAAATTCAAAGGCTTAAATTATCAGAAAATCAATTTCATTTCTTCCTACATGAAATGCTTCAAGTATATGAAAATGTTATGTTTATTATTTTAATATGATATGCATTAAGGCCTAAAACTTGCGCATACTTACCAAGGAAGTTACAAACGGGCAAAACCACACTATAAAAATATCTAATTATCTGATGCCGTATATTTTAACAAGAGAGCTAATAAATTCATAAAATACTGACTTATGAATATTGTACTGATTTTAAATGATAATAACAAAAAATCTGGTTTTTCTTAACTTTATAAATCATCAAAAACATTGAAATAGAAACAAGATACATCATACATTTATGTTTCAAGGCTGTACTAATTTATTACTTATGGAACAATACAAAGTTTTTTAAAATTTGGAGTACTACATTTATATTACCTCTTAGAAACTTTTCTTTCAAATAAAAACTCATTCTTTTAAACACAAAAAATAAAAGCTAGGAAAATTAGTTAGGCATTTCCAAAAATAAGTTAACTATAAATTTTGCATACTTATATTGACTACATGAAAATATTCCTTTGTTTTCAAACTATCTGATATGTTTTGTAATCTTAGAAAATACAGGGTGGTTATAATTAAAGTTCCACTTTCAAATGGTCATAACAGGAAAACTACTGGATTAATGTTATCAAACTTGGTAATCCTGTAAATGAGGTCATGGGAATTTATTCCCCCCCCCACACACACACAAAAAAAAAAGCTAAAAAACTCACCACCAGAGGGAAAGTGTGCGCATTCTGGAAATCGTTTTCTTACAGATCACTAATTTGTGATTTTTAAAGCTTGAATTCACCCCTATGACATGAAAATATCAGTTTAAAACGTTTTCAATCGTTTCTGAAACGAAACTATTCGTGGGGTTATGCAAAATCGCATTGGCTTCTGTGGAATATAATTTAATTTTTTTATATAATTATTAAGATTTCCTACATGGCAACATGATGTAATGTTTTTGAATAGTTATTAAGATTTGCCATGTGGCAACAATGAATTGAGTTCAAAAAAATTTTTACTTGGAATATTTCATAATACGCATTGCATAAGCCTTATTTCTTAAAAGCTTGTTATATTATTATTATGCCCAAAAAATAAGTAATATGTTGCAAAAAGGTATATAAGTCATATAAAAAAACATGCTGTTTTTTTAAGATCAAAATAAGCATTTATTTAAATTATGAAATACCCTGGCTGTTTAGTTTTGATTTAATTTTTCCATCAATACACACAGGCTTAAGACAGCACTGTTTATGTTGATAATCTAAACAATTTGGTGGAATTGAAAGATGCGACAAATGGACATGTCCGTAACATTCCTCCTGATATGCTAAGAGCTGCTGTTGAGAATGCAGTAATACGATTTAACTTGCTTTTGGAAAATGGTGGATGCCAAATTGAACCTGCTTTGTAACACATTTGAGAAATGATTAAACACATTTTAAACCCATGTCTTATTTTCATTTAACAATATTACATACAGTGCCACTTCCTGCATGGTAGTGAGTTTTTGAACTTTTTTTCTTTCGCCAAAAATAAATCCCCATGACCTCCTTTACACGAGTACCAAGTCTGATAAAATTTGGTCCAGCAGTTTTCATTTTATGACCATTTCAAAGTGGAACTTTAATTATAACTGCCCTGTACTACCAATTCATAAAATTGTAATTAGAAGTTCTTAATATTACATGTACCCTTTTCATAAACAGAAAGCATGTATTTTATTTCTAGAAATTGTGATTTCAATTACTGATTAAAATCAGTAATTGAGTATTCATTTACACACAAGACACACAAAAACCTTAGTATTTAGGAAATGATTTAAAGTTGATGACTTTTTCTCAGTTTTAATTTTTTTTCCTTACACATTCTACTGTTAAATTACACAGACAACAAAATATGAAAGAATGGCTTTTCTTACCATATCTGAATGAAACTCTAAAAATATCTTTAACATTAATTGAAGAAAAGAATTTATCCTTTCAACAAAATTTCAAAATATTTTCATAATTTTCTTTTTTACACTTGAAAAGGAATGCTGCTATTTTCACTACATATAAAAAACTCAACTTGACAGCACTCTAGGTCAGCATCACATTAAAAGTTTGCAGTTTCATACATGCATTGTTTTACAAATGCTCAGTTGACAGACATGCATTTAATGTATGTATTACTTGACAGTAATGGATAAGTTGACAAAAGAATGCATCAAGAAAGGCACACAACCAGATGTGTACCACAGCACCAAATGTTTGAGCATTTGGATCAGAACCAAGACTAACATGGATCTATTAGGATGCAAGATGCTAGAGCATCCACGATCAACTCAAACTACTGTTTCGGTGAAAAAAAAACTCAAAAGAGGATGCCAGCATATGATGCACAGCTCTACATCATTTTCATCTGCAATATACCTGGTTTTCTACAGATGAAAATTATCTGCAATGTGGGATATTTGCAAAGTGGTTTCTATAGGCATGCAACTTATGATTTCAAGTTGTGTTCTGTTCACGGATGAAGTGGGTCAAGATGAAAGAGATTTTTAATCTCCCATTGCACATATGTAAGCCTAGGTGAATCCCCATGTTATATGTGATCACATGCAATACAATACTACTGGGCTATTTATGTCTGGATACACATCATGGATGATTGTTTAATCAGCCCACAATTATTACCACACCAACTGTACACTTGGAAGAATCAGACTTTTGTGGGGAAAGTTCTGTCTAAAAGTATAGATGAATTTCATAAAGAGAATTATTTAATCTCATGTTCCCAATAAACTATACTATACATTATTTTTCTCCTTTAGTTCATAATAATTTTATAAATTTTAAATAAAAGCTAATTTTAAAAAAAATTCAATTCTTTAAACTTCAATTTTTTGGGGGGAGTTTAATTTACATGGCATCAAAAAATTCTCTATCATACAATTCAAAAATCATTTTCCAGCAATGAATAACCAATAACCAATCACTTTCATTTCCAACAATTCTATTGCATCAATGGTAAAAAAACTCCAGCTGTTTTGCCAAAAAATCAGAAATTATGTTAAAAAGTAAATTTCATTTAAAAGATTTCTTAAACTCTATCCCATGGTTCAAACAATAAAATTTAAAAAAATTGTGCCTCAAACAAAAATATGTGCAAAAAATCTTTTCAACATTCAATTTAAAAAATCTAAATAAAATTTAGAGAAATATCTCTTCATTGATTTGTATCCATAATAAATGTATCCGTAAAATGTGAGCTTGAAAGCTTATCAGGGAACAATTCAAAATAAATGGCAAATTTTGACCATAGTGATAAAAAAACCATGTGTGAGTTAAAAGCTCATAAAACATGGCTAGTTTTTAAAAAGATTAGAATGATGCAATTAACCCTCTGACTATTCATCCTGCAGTTTCCACTCAGTTTGTAAGATGAAAGTAACAAAATTTGCTCACTCCACAATTCTCGTGAGTAGGCTGTTTTTACCTCTGTTTAAAAAAAAAGTGCATCCTGCTTTTTCCGCCTTTTTTAATCATCAACAATGCATTTTCTACAATATTTAGACTTTGAATCAGTTGGTCAATAGAAGGCATTACTGTCACCTAAATTTTCATACCTTCATAGAGTTCACTAGCTGATTTTGCAAGTGCTCCTATTATCAGTTTTGTTTTTTAAATTCAGTGAGTGATCAAACATAATGTTCCTGATAATAGTTCTGATATTGAAACTGGTTTTAGTTATTTTGAAGCAACATAGAAACAGACTGTTATTTCTCGGAAGCTAGATAGTGATGAATCTGAAAACAATTCAATAACCATCCAAAATATTCAACTTTCAGATGATTTTCATAAAAAAATTCAGCAGTCAACAGGTTTAATATATTTATTTTTCATTGTTGTTTTAAAAGAGAATGTGGAGTTTCTTTCATAACCTTTGAAAATTTCAAATCTTTAACATCTAATGTCAGAATTTAAAATCCCATACAAGAATGTAATATTGCCTATCAAAAAGAAAAATCAACTCTTGTAATGAAATGCTTATAAAATTTTCAAATGGAAAAAAATAAAAAATGTGATATATTTTTCATAATGAGGCAGTGACATCATTACTTTGAATCATGTTTTCCAGGAATGATGAAGGAAGAAGCCCTACAGTTCCATGTTATAGCATATTTAAAATAAATAAATAAAATAAAATAAATAAAAATATGAGAAAAAAAGAGAAACTAATTCAATTAATATTTTTTTTATTATTCTCTTTTTAAAAGAGGGCAAAGAGCTGGTTTTTCTCCTGTATGAAAATTAAAAATTTTTATAACCCATACATTTTTAGATGTTGAAATTTTAAAACCATAAATATCAAATGGTTGGAAAAATTGAGCAATTTCTGAAATTTCACCAAAAATTTAGAAATGTCATTAGAAATTTTCATGATAGAAATTTCAATTAATCCTTCATAATTTTTCTGACTATTCCATGCGACAAAGAGTAATTTTTTTTAGATTTTTAATTTCATTAAATGAAGATAAGTGTTAAAATTTGAACTTTAAATTAAAAAAATCTGAATCAAATTTTGAAAAAACTTGCTTCCCCACATAGTATTGTTATTCATAAACAGTGTTTGTACAAAATTTTAACTCGATAGCATATCAGAATGAAAACATAATTTGCGTAACAAACTTCCAATTACTGCAACAAACATACCGAATAAACTTAAAAGTTCATACAAATTATAAGAAATATGGGTTTTAATCTTGTTTTGTTTTTGCTTTGTTTATATATCAAATGTGTGTATGAGTTAATTTTCTTTTACTAAAAAATCTTTTTTTTGGGGGGGGGGAAGGGAAGATTGCATGTTTTATATGCAAGTTTATATCAGCTTTCAGATATTAAGCTGGAACTTGTAAAAACAGACTGCAAGTACTTTTTTCAATAAATATATACACAGGCAATTTATTCCTGTATTTTCCATAATATATACAGCAAAAGAACGCAAATTATGTTTTCATTTCACTAAATTTCAAATTGTATTTTCTCTTTATAATTTCTTTATATAATATACATTCAATTCTTAACAAACTGAAAAAATTCTTAAAATTTTGCAACACAACCAATCTTCATAACTGCATTCAACATAAACAATAACTTCAAAACTGTCATAAGCAAAATGATAACTAATTCCGAGTAATTTGTTCTAAAGTAAGTCATTTGTACTAAAGAAAGTAATATTTCAAAAAATTTGTATGATTAAAATACTTTCAATCTGTTTAATATCATTTGCACACTTACAATATGATATTTCAACTTGACAAATTATCAAATGTTTTGAAAGTAAATTTTTGTTCTGTTCTAGATAACAATGAATGCAATAAACAAATGACACCTTTAAATTTATTTATAATATATTCACAGAAAAATATAAACTGCATGGACCAAAGCTGAGAAAGTTAGAATGTAAAACTAAATACTTTTCGGACTGAACTTTCTTTGCATGACCATATACACAATTATATGATGTCTACATAATATAAACATGCATAGAAAAACTATGAGTAAATAATGGTAAATGAGCATTATTTCAACCTACAATATAAGTAATCAGTAATGTTGTCATCTAAGTGTTTTAAAAAGCTATATAAAAAAAGTAAAGAAAAGAAAACAAAAGTATGGGTGTTCTAGAAAAGAAGATAACTCACTTCTGTCTGTAAACGTTTCAGATATTCTGCTTTATGCCTCAGAGGATCAGTGGATAAGCCATCAGCAAAATAAACCAGGCCCAGAGGAAAGTTGTGCTGGGAAAGCCAAGACATAACTCTGCGCTGCTGCATGTCAGGTCGCCCAGTTATATATATTATTAAATATCCTAGGTCTTGCCAGTGCCTAATAAAAATAATTACTTTCCCAATTAAATCAAAAACACAATTTTATCATATTGCAATACATGCATGGTATTTTTTTTTCTCCTAGGTTCAAAATATTCATGGAAAATGCTTGAAGAGGCTATTTACGACGTATAGTCATGTTCAAAGTAGCATCCATTAGAATCTGCACTTGCATCAGCACTGCTCATAATCCTAGAAGCATTGGTAGCACGCATTTTTTTGGTATCAGTCATAGCCTGACTATCCTGGACTGCTGGTGTACTAGTCATGGGAATCCACTGTAGTGACTGGCAGCATATTGTTTAAGCTGCATATTAACAGGGATCGTACACATTTCTGCACATCGAAATGAAGTACTTTTAAGGAACATTAATCTCTACATATAATAAAAGAAAGAGTCTGTCTGTGAGTGTGTGTCTTTCGTTCGTGCTGTGCGTTAAGCTAATAGACCCACAGCTACGAAATTTGGTACATAGGTGCATCTAGACAAGAGCCAGTGCAAACTCGAAGAGATTTTTTCGAAATTTTAATTAGATTTTTTTATGTTTTGTGATGAAATCGCGTCATTTTGAGACATACTGGGCTATAAGGAAAGCGAAATTTTACTCTACACACTCCATTTTCACATCGTCATGAAACGTAGGCACTTAGCTATTTTACAAACTTAAAATAAATTTCGTGTTTCAATAAATCGATTAAATACGAATTTATTTAACAAATTGAGCTTAATACCTTTTCAATGGAATTTTTTTCTAAAAAAGTTTATTTTTAAAAATGTACAGTTTATTTTTCTTTGATTTTTGGACACGTTAAACTTTCATCCTTGCCACTGCTTTTACAAAAAGAATTTTGGAAAAATAATATTTTGTACTTTTAAAAAAAATTTTAAATGAAGCTTCAGAGTACACTTCTCACATCTCACATCTTTAAAAATGTGATTTTGCCAACAATTTTCCCATCTTATTGTTGTTGATAGATTTTTGATGAAATCGCATCATTTTGAATAGTTTCATTCTTTTAGAAATAATAAAAATGGGTTTGGCAACAATTTTTCATCGGATTTCTTATGTCACTGTTTTTAAGAGATTGGCATATTTATTGTCATTTTTATATATATAATATTTTTTTTTTTTTTTGATAAAGTTGCAGAGTAAAATTCTGCACGAAATTTTATGTTTTTTGAGTTTCTTTCATGTTATTTTTTGCTTATTTCACTGTTTGTAGATATCTTTACCCATAAGAAAAGTTTTGCATGATTTTTTTCTTCAACGGAAAGTTGGTTAATTTTTTTATTAGGATAATTAATATTTGTATTAAGGGATATAGCTTATTTCCTTGTAATTTTTTTCTCTTGAAAATATAAGATAAAATATTATTAATTATACTTTGCTTTTCAGAAGATTTTGTATTCTTTTATGTTATTTATTGCTCATTTCACTGTTTTTAAGATATTGAAAAGTTTTGAGTGATTTTTTTAGAAAACAAAATTCTTAACCTCCTTTATACCATTTGAGTTCTTAAGATTTTGCAAAGGGAAGTTGGTTAATTTATTTATTAGGATAATTACTGTTTGTATTAAGAGATATTGCTTATTTCATTGTAATTTTGTTATACGTAATAACTTTTTTTTATGAAGTTGTTCTGCAGAGTAAAATTCTACGCAGTTTTTAAATTTAACATTTGGTGTTCCCTTCAGCCAATTTTCAGGTACACTTAAAAGCCAGACGAAGGCTAGCAGGGAAGCTGCTAGTGAAAAATATTAAGAACCCATCAACAAATAGTAACTGAATAAATTCAATTAAAGATTATTAGCTATGGTTGAACTTCACTTTTGTGATACCACCCTAAGAATAAAATAGATCCACAAGTATTATTAAACATAATTCAGTAGACATAATTATTAAAAAAAATTGAGAATAAAATCAACTTTTAACAATTGAGAATAAAATTTATCAGGTAGCATTAAATATTTTACCCATATAATAGTTGGATATACTTAAAAGAAGATTAGTGACCTTTTATTTACATTTTAACAGTTAGCTTTATGTCGACTTTTCCTTTTATGCCTAATTTTGTCACGTACTTGCTCAGTTTACAGGTTTACTAAATAACAGGTAGATTTTACGTCAAACGGCATGGGTTAAAATGAGAAGTAAATCATAATCAGCATGATTGGTTACAGAAGACTGGTTGTTACCACTGCTGCTGCTTGCCTAGAGAGAGGGGCCCATGGAGGTTTGAATAGACTTATCTACTCCAACCTCCATGGAGAAGCCTGCTGATCAGAACAAACCTGAAACCCTGATATAGGCACGGCTGTCTTTGCATCCAACTAGATGCAAAGAATTAAGTTTTACATTATTTTTTACATTCTTAGTGCTGTATCGTGTGACCACGGTAAAGATTAATGAAAGGCAATAACTCCATTTAATATGCAGAGATAACTTTTAAGGGTGACTAGTTAGTTACAAATAATTATATTAACTAGTTAGATATCTTTAGTTCATTATAGGTTTACATGGCCACTATTAAGTTCATTTTTTAAAAGTATTTGTTAAAAAAGCATTATTAAAATCACAATCTACTAACATGTCACATTTTAAAATACATATAATTTATGACATTAATTCTTAAACTATATTAAGACAACTACACAATAAAAGTGACAAAATATTTACGTTTTGTAGCAGCAATACTCAACAAACTATTTATGCACCTTTTCATTTGAAGCCTTTCCAGACATTCTGGCTAATTTATATCAATTTCCTTCTCCTTAAGCATCTTTTCTAACAATTAGAAATTTGTTTCAACATGCAAACCAATACTTCCACTAGTTTCTGTGTGTTTTATCTCCTAATTTATCTCTTGACTATGTACCTATAAGATTTTACTTGATCTGATAAACGTTAAATAGTCCAAAACCTCTGAGAGACGTGAAGCAAATTATCACTTTGTAGAGCTGGTGTAGAAGAATTTTTAGAATTTAGTGACACACCGAGCAACAAAATCTAGAAATGGGAAAACTTTAGAATTTAGGAAGGCATTAGGCAGAAGAATTTAGGATCTACAGAGACTGCATCAGGGGGTAAAATGCATAGTGCCAGCCCTGTGTATGATCCACAGAGCTGCAGCTAGGGTTTTTGCCTGAAGATTTTGTGCCCCCTTCTAGTTTTCAATTTTTATATTGATAGAAAAATTCCTTTCCATAAATGCCTGTCCATGTGATAAGATTAAAAGCATTTTTAATATTTTGAATGCTTGTGTCTAGTAAAAAGTACAGAAAAAAAGGAAAGATAAACACGTTAAGAAAAAGTCTTCTGGTATCAGAAGTAAAACATTCAAATATTATGTTTTCACTGTTTTTCTGAAAATTCTCCAAAAAGTAAAAGTTTATCATAAACTTTCTGTAAAATATATCCTTTACCATGCAGACATTTTTCTGGAATCTTCTAGATTTGTGGGTCTATAAATCTTGCCCTTCAAATCCTTCTAAACTTTTCAAGTTGCAATGCCTAAAGAAAAATTACCCCTACCAATTCTGTAACAGGAAACAGCCACAAATATGTTGAAAAAAAATCAGAGGAAAAAACTGTAAAATTAATTTTATAGAGAAAACTGATGCATATTGAGATAATTACATGGAAAAAACTCTTACCATGAAAAAATTAAAACGAAGGCATTTTTAATTAATTACATAGCTATTTTGCTTTTGCTAAGAATTGTTTCATAAATTGTGTTAAAGAGCAATTTAAGCATTTATTACTTTGCTTATTTTTTATATTCAAAATATTGTATAATATGTAGTCACCAAAATGGAAAGTACAGTCACTTTATAATATAATAGCAGAAAATAAAAATGTTTCATTTTAATGTTATTTCTTGAATACAAGTTCAATACATTAGCATTATTTTAATGAAATTGAGCAATGTTATAATCTTTAAAAAAAAATACCGTCGAAAAATTCCCAGATTTCCAAATTAAAAATTTTCTATAAAAAATTATCTTAAAATCATCAAAATGTTCATAAATCGCCAAATTTGGAGCCTTTGATAGAGAATTTACATTTCCAAAAACGAAAAGTTGTTCAAGATATCTTCATTAGAAGAAAAAAAAAAAAAAAAAAAAGAAAAGAAAAGAAAAGAAAGAATTTCGAAATGCTTATGTCCCACTTCTTGCTCAAACTTAAGTATTCCACCGTTTATATTAGAAATAGGAACAAATTATAATCCCTGAACCTATTTACTCATTCAAATGAATCGCCAAAAATATTTGCCCAAAATGCTAATTCACATTCCAAATGGCAGTCATAAACACAGACAGAAATTTCAGATTATTAAAATTAAGGAACTCTGGCCAAATTTGGTTTAAATTAAGGACTTTTAAGGTCCAAAAACCAATTTCAAAAAAAGCTAAAGACTTTTAAGGACTCTTAAGGACCACACGAACCCTGCATTAACTAAATTGAACTAAAACCAAATTTATTATTAATCTATGAAAAGCACTATTAACATATCATAATTACAAAGTTATTATTAATATTAAATCAATAGGAACAACAGTTTAGAAGGTAAATTCAATTATTTTCCTCATTATATGAGGATCTTGCTAGCTGCAAGATTCTCTCTAGTGAAGAGTTTTAGAACATTCTGAGCATTTTCTATATCTGGAACATTTTAAGACTGAATTAATCATGTCTTTTTTAATTTTTGTTCTATTTTAAATCCTATGATTTGCTATAGCATAGGAGCTGCAGAATCACTAGTTGGTCAACTCCCGAAATGGTAACACATTGATGACAGACACAGTGCACATCCTTAAAATCTCCTGATGCTGATCATGAAGTTATAGATTTTGTACTGACAAACAGAGGCATTACTGAACAAGTTATTACTTCTGTAATGTCTGACTCATAACAGCTAAACGATTATGACTTATGAGAGGACCACAAACATGAATTCCTTATCTTTGCGTGCTGAAATACGCATCACTTTGGCTAG